AGTCACTCACATCATCTGGCAGGGCACAACGATGATCATCCATCGCTGGAACCTGTCTGTAGCATTGCTCGACGACGGTGTGGACGTGGCTTGTGAGAGCCAGAATTGCGGTTTCCGTGTCCTGCTTGTTGTTAATGTTTGCCTGGATTGACTCTAGTTTGGATGGATAAGTTATTTTTTTTTATTTTATGCGAAAAGTTGTCAAACGAGCAGACGGTTCACCTGATGTTAAGTGAATACAGCCGCCCATGGACATCTGCCACACCCGAGGGTTACAGATGCGTTGACAACTTTTTTAAAAATTGGGCTCCGGCTACCTGACTCACCACACGAAACGCGAAAGTATTTGTCATACTTCCACTTTACGCTGGTCTTCTGTGAGGTCGTGGTACTTACCCGGACGGGCATGCCAATTCGTGCAACAGCCGAGGTTGCTGCGTGGCCCTACCACCGTTAAAATTTCTTTAAGTTTTGTCCTAACGTTGTGCCAGTTAATAACTGTTAGTTTCCGGAGTGGCTATAGCAAAGGACCCTAGTTGGTGATCAGAGTGAAGCTCATGGATCACTTCAATGTCACGTATGGTTGATATTTCTGACTATCGCAACATCAAGCACATCCGATATGTGACCCTCTGTATAAGAGTAGTGTGCATGTACAGCAGGTGCTACGATGTCAAAATCGAGCATGTCTGATAGCGATTCGAGTGCTACGCCCCGACTATTGGTGCGAGTGGAATTCCAACGGGTGTGCTTGTTTTTGAAATCGCCAGCTAGAATTGTGGCTCCTCCTAAGTACAGGAGGGCCTCAAAGTCAGAGCGCAATACCAATGCGCTTTGTCTACACGGAAGGCATACGGAAGCTATTGTAATGGGAGAGTGACCAGTCATGGCCAGCTGACAGACCGAGGCCTCGAGATGCATTAGCGCGGGCGTATCGACCGGTACGCATTGGAGGGATTTTTTGAAATATATGACTATGCCGCCGCCCGAGGCGCCGGCACGATCGTTCCTAACTGTACGATAATTTGGTATATTCGGATCCCTTGTCGCGGGCTTCCCGCTTCAGTACCGTTTCCTGTATTAGTAGTTCTACTACTAATACAGGAAACGTGGAACTGAACTATAATATGTGGCTCACGTTCGTGAGCCACATATCGCCATCGTCCATCGCCACTAGTCCACTGCGACTAGTGGTGAGTCGTCGATCGTCCGACACTGCGGCCAATACGAGGCAGCCATTCGAGAACCTTTCTTTACCTACATTACTAATTTAACCCTTTCACGCTCAAGGGAAATATTTTTCCCTTCTACAAAAATCGTTATCGATTGTTCAATTATTATTGGATCGATATTTTTTTTACTCAATGTCAAAATAAAACGTATGTCTAAGGCAGCAAATGCGTTTCTGAACGAATAAAAAAAAACTGACAAACTTTATCGCGCCAAAATCAAAATATTCGCGGGCTGAACAAAAAATTTCTTGAAAGTGTTTTGGACTTGAGAAAATAAAATAAGTGTATTTTGTCACGTGTTTTATATTATTCGGTAAGTATAATTTTATATAATAATACAGTAAACTGCAGGATATTAGCACAAGTACCTAAAAATTGCAAATCATCTAAAGGGAAATATTTTTCCCTCTGGCCCATATCTGGTGTATTCGTTGTAGTATTATTATATAAAGTGCTTTATGATAATGTATGGTTTTCTTGTATTTTTATATAATTTACCTTCGTTTTTTTTTCACAGAAATGGTTAAAAGAGGGTGCAGAGAATTTCATATTCAAGATGAAGAAATATTGCAGTTACTTACGGCAGATAATAGTGACGGAGAAGATGATGACTTACAGTTAGACGAAGAAGACCAGCAGTTCATAGCTAAAGATGTAGAAAATGGAACCGATGTTGATGAAATTGAAAATTCTGTTCAAGAGCCGATAAATCAAACCTCATTACCCACCTGTTCAGATACTTCAGAGACTATTCCTATTTTCAACTGGAGAAATAATTCATACGCTCCTCCCACATTCAATGAAAGTGAGTATGAGTTTGGGCGCATAAATACATTATCTGACCGGCATGGCATGTTGTTGGCAATGGACATTTTCATGGAGGTGACACAAATGGATCAGTTAGTGTCTAATATCATATTAAAAGAAAGTATCAAATACGTACAACAAAATGGAAGACCTTTTACAGTCGGCTTGGATGAATTGAAGGCATTTTTAGGCATGAATTTTGTAATGAGTTATCATGTTTTACCAACTCTTATAAATTACTGGTCGACTGACGAAGACATGGGTGTGCCTTTCATTGCTAATGTTATGCCAAGAACTCGATTTGAGCAGATTCGGCAAAATTTACATTTCTCTGATAATAAGAATCACTCACAATCGAGTGACCGAGCGTATAAAATAAGATCTATTATGCAACATTTCAATTTGTGTTTTCAAGCAGCAATGAATAACTCACTAATCCATTGATGAACACATGATCAAATTCAAAGGGCACAACATTATGAAGCAGTACATCAAAAATAAACCTATAAAATTGGGGTTCAAGATGTGGTGTAGATGTGAGTCTTCAACAGGTTACTTATACCAGTTTGATTTATATACAGGAAAGAAAACTAATATAGAAATTGGTTTAGGTGAATCAGTAGTACTCTGTCTGACAGAACAACTCAAGGGTTTTGGTTGTGAAGTATACTTTGACAATTTTTTCAACTCGCCTGCTTTGCAACATAAACTTATGATGCAGAACACCAAAGCCTGCGGCACTGTTCGCACGAATAGAAAAAATGTGCCAAATTCATTACCATCAGATAAAAGCATGAAAAGAGGCGACATCTATGCCGTAAGTACAAACTGCATAACATTCGTAAAATGGATGGATACTAAAGCAGTCCATATGTTGACCAATTACATATCTCCGGTGCCAACTAGCATAGTAAAGAGGAGGCAGGCAGGAACTGCTCAAAAAATAAATGTTACATGTCCGGAAGTAGTGATGCGCTATAATAAATATATGGGGGGTGTGGACCTTATGGACCAGCGCAAAGCATGTTATGAGGTTGATCGCAAGGTGGTGGTTCTACGGTGGTAGGGCCTCGCAACAGCCTCGGCTGTGGCACGAATGGGCAGGCCCGTGCGGATAAGTACCACGACCTCGCAGAAGACCAGCGTAAAGTGGAAGTATGACAAATACTTTCGCGTTTCGTCTGGTGAGTGAGGTAGCCGGAGCCCAATTTTCAAAAGGTTGTCAACGCATCTGTAACCCTCGGGTGTAGCAGATGTCCATGGGTGGCGGTATTCACTTACCATCAGGTGAACCGTCTGCTCGTTTGGCAACTTTTCACAAAAAAAAAAAAAAGACCAAAATCAAATATTACCTGCGCCTCTTTTTGACATCTTAGATATCGCTATGAATAACTCGTATTTAGTGTACGTAAAGTTGCACGAAAAACACCGAGTAGAAGGTCCACTTTTGAGCAGCCTCGAGTATCGCCAACATATAGCACGAGGTCTAATAAATAATTTTACATGTAGACAGCGATCAAGACCCACTTTAGTCTCCTCTGAAAAGCTCCGCATTGGAAATATACGCAAATTGCCAGCGCACAACATGGAAAAAGCAGAAAAACTAAAGCGATGCGTAAATTGTGCTAAACGACGCATAGAAAATAGGACACATAATAAATGTGTATGGTATCCGCCGCTGTTGTCAAAGTCAATTGACAACAGCAGGCGCCCAGTATTGAACACAATTGTTCAAGTAATAAGATTCTTATCGCAAACAGAATTGAATTTATATAAAAAAAAAGTATATTGGCATACTAATTATGAACTATTCTTTCATTTTCACACAGTTTTGGGATAAAACAGACACACATTTCATTGTATTTGACATATCAACCGGCAGCCATAATTCCCATCGCAAACAATAACTTTTTCGGAGGTTAAATATCACAATTTTTGAATGCTAAAACTACTTAACTATAATAATATTGTAGCATTATTCTTCACGATAATTTATATATATAATAGTTGCAAAATATCTACTTATGGCATATTTTATTAAGTCAACATTCACTTCACACGTAACGCACTTACAGTTGATAGCGTGGACTAGTGGATATAGCAATTAATTAAAACGTAAATAATACTTGAAAACATTGTGTTTACTTGTATATGAAAAAATATATCGCACATCAAAGGTAAAAGAACATCCAAATTCAAATTCACTGCATCATAGACAATTACAATTATACGTCAAAGAGAATGTAATCACTACGTTTACGTGTTATACGTGGACAGCATCACGACCTTCCAACAACAGGAATAAGCTTTCTAACTTTTTTATGGCGTTCTGCTTCAAAGTTGTGGCCAGATAAATTTATTTCGTTGAATAATTTCCTAAAGAACATCTCTATGAAGCTATATTTATAATCAAAACGCGCTAATTGATTATATACGGAATTTGTTTACACTATGTCGCGTAGGTACATCGCATGGATCCCTATTGGCGGTTTACATAATTTTATTTTCTTGGTACTATAGTACCCGATGGCTTTCTGGGTGCTAAAATAATTTGCAATCTAACATAATATACCAATAATAAATGATGCAAAGAAATATCGAAGTCGATATCGTATTCGTGGAGTTATTAGATATATACGAATTTAGCCCCACTTTCCGAATTTGCCCCATTACGTTTTTGCCCCCCCCCCCCCCCCCCCCCCCGCAAGAGCAGATTTGCGTAGGCACACCCCATCCCCGTGAACGAAAAAATTAAGTACGAGAAAAAACTGCTACTAAATGAATAATGCACATAATGAAATTGACGTTACAAAGGTTCCTTACATTATGAGACTAATAGAAGAAAAAACAATAAATAATATTCTATTTAATATAGAGGGATTTATTTTATTATCAATACAGAAATATATTAATTAATTTAAGGTAATTTAACATAATTATATGTATTTAAAAATGTGTTTAGTCTGTGACACTTATAGCTACGGGTGGTATGAATCTCCAAATGTGGCTCACTTCGCCCGTGCACGGTTGTATTATGGAATGACTATCTGCATCTTTTATAATGGCCGCTTCCTCTAACATCGGTTCAGTAGTAGAGCACTGTATATCTATTTTGTATTCGCCTGGAGTTAAGAACACAACGGTGCACTCGTGGAACGCTTTTTCCGTTTCGGTTAACGACGACAATACCACCCTGAAAAATGAAATAGTTGCAATGTCTTATGGTATATATATGGTATGTATATTGGTTAGTGTCCGAAACTGGTTTTTACGAACGAAACCGAAAGCGAATTTCGGCAACAGTCTCAGTTTCAGCCTAAACCGAAACCTCTATAAAAGGATCATGTTTTGAGGGAAAAAAATGTAGTTATGCAGTCTTCGACATATCCACTTGTTGGTGTAATAATGAACTTGACAACCCCATTTAGGAAAAAAATATTAATTGCGCCTTAAAAAGACTTAAAATAGGTTTATTTGAGTAGTTAGATTCTTCTTTTGAATATTATTCGTGATTATTTTAAATATTGCGTGGTTATTTTGAACATGCTTAAGGTGTCTTTTTTTGTAAATTTGTTAGTTTTTAATTGTATAAATTACTAATCAACTACTCAAAATCGTCTGACAGCTGACTAATTAAGTCAGCTGTCAGACGATTTTGACTCGAACATCACAGCGTCTAATAGGCATGAGATATACCTGCAACATTCTATACCCGGCCTCAAAGGTACGGGTATCGCCGTATACCCGGTGCTAAAACCCAGTATCAAAATACCTATAGCTATTAGTTATGTTCAGGCCTCCTAATAGAGACCCGGTATGAAATTGAACCTTTATTTGGTTGGAATTGGAACATTTAGATGTTTTTTAGCAATCATTTTTTTTAATTGAGATTTAATCAGTCTAAATAGGGCTCCATTTTTACCAACGTAAAGAATCCTATTATAAAAAAAAAGTAATTCAAAATAAATATTACTGTATGATCTTATTACGCAATTATTTATCTACCTAATTGTCATAGAAATAAAGAATAAATTTATCTCAAGGAAATATTTGGTATAAAATGCCTAAATCATACGTTTCAATTCGGTCATGATCGGAAAGAGCCGCCGTAAGCGTTCGGGGAACTTCGTACCTATTCGGCCGGCGGGTTGTCGCGCCGCCACCGTCGGACGAGGCGGCCATAGCCATACCTATCGGGTATGGAACGGGCCTCTGCCGTACATACGTCATACCCGGTATGCGGGCGGGTTGTCGCGAGCGTTATATACCGCCACCGTCGGACGAGGCGGCCATACCTTTCGGGTATGGAACGGGCCTCTGCCGTACATACCCGGTGTGCGTACTGGCATGTTCATACTGGGTATTTATACCTGTTCCAGTATATACGCCTCATCCCTAGCGTCTAATAAAATCTGTTCATTCATCCAAATTAACAGCGTCACATTGACGAACATCAATCAACGTTGACGAAAAAACCTCCAACGATGTAATTTAACGCGCTGATTATAACCGATCATAGCGCGAGAACTCCCGAATGCAGTTACGGTTTCGAAACCGAAACTAGTTTTTTTGCCGAAACTCGATCGAAACCGAAACCGAACATTCGGTCATACACTAATATTGGTAGATATGTACGTTTTTAACTTACCAATAGGTTTTATTCGACCGGAAAACATATCCGACACATATCATAAGAAACAATTACTTTTATACTTAAAACAATCACTTCATTCCGTTAACAGTGTCTCTGTTCCAACATCGTTGAACACTCAATTTGAGAGTTTGATTCAAAGTTTGAATATGAAATATAATAATTGCATACTTATAATTGATCACTCTTACTTGTTATTGCCAGCCGTGGCCACACGATTATCCAGTTTATAACTTAGTACTCCGTTGTTATAGTCCTGGTAGAATTGTACTGATAGGCATAATTTATGCAGCGGCCTGCTGAGAAGGTTTTGCACAGCTACGCCTAAAGACAGACATTCGCCAGCGCTGCAGTTCAACTCCTCTTGTGGTTTGATGCATTGATTGTTTACGCTAACCTCTGAAATTAACAATAACATTTAGAAACACTCTTCACTCTCAAAAGATATTTTTGTATTCAAACGTAATTAAAAACTTCTTTTGTATATTTTGTTGGTATTTACTATTTCAATAAATCACAATTTTTATATGGGTCCCAAATTTTATGCGATTTCGCCTTTTCTTCGTTTTATTGGCTTTTATTCGACAAGCAACCAGATGGTACTATAAATTTTTGAATTTAACTTCCAATAGATTAATTTCTTGATTTCTTTTTTTTTTATTTCTTCTTTTAATCACTTCGTTCGTTCAACATTCATCGTTTAATACTTATTCTATGTTTTCATTTTAAAATTATAAGTTTCAAAGTCTACTTTAATTAGCAAAGCATTGACTAGGAAATTTAAGTCTGAGGTCATAGGTTCACAAATCGTTCGATAAATAATGATAACATTATTTATGTATAGATTTTATATAAATAAAAAATGATAAATATATTTAAAATCACTCGTAATTAATTAAATACATTCATTTGAACTTATCTCAAAAAGTGCGTGATTTATGGGTAACTCATTGATTTTTCGCGCGATCATTCATAACTAATACGCACAAGTTCGTTTCAAAAGTATACGACGTATTTATGAATGACTATCGCATTTATTATTTTATTTTATGCGAAAAGTTGTCAAACGAGCAGACGGTTCACCTGATGTTAAGTGAATACCGCCGCCCATGGACATCTGCCACACCAGAGGGTTACAGATGCATTGACAACCTTTTGAAAATTGGGCTCCGGCTACCTCACTCACCAAACGAAACGCGAAAGTATTTGTCATACTTCCACTTTACGCTGGTCTTCTGTGAAGTCGTGGTACTTACCCGGACGGGCCTGCCCATTCGCGCAACAGCCGAGGGTGCTGGGTGGCCCTACCACAGTTGTCTGTCCCATCGCATTGTCAACAAGTTTTGTTTTTTAGGGATGGGAATGGCAATTTTTTTGAAAGTTTGTTTTTATTTCAACAAACGATTATACTACCGGATCTGAACCACCTGTGTGAATTTGGGCACCTTTAGAAAAGCCAGGGCTTATGCCAAAAAAATGGACTAGGAGGTCTACCGGCCGCCCGCCTCTCGTCAACCCACCGTGGATATACGCAGCGAGATACGGAACAATTATCTACGGGTCCCACAAACACTTGTCCAGTGCGGGAATCGAACCCACCACCCCGGCCCGAACTCCGAAGCCAACAGCTCAACGACGCCACGGAGTCATCACATCGTGACTACGTGACGCGCATCAAAAGCACTTTTACTCCCGCCCATCTCCAATGAGCTTATAGGTAGCCCAGTTGAGGGGTGGCACCCTGGCCCGTCTGCAATCAGCTCGAGTGTCCCACCCCAGTTCAGCGGTGACATCCTGACGATGTCCATCATGGAGTGCGACAGCGTGATGCCCTTGACGGAGGCGGCGCCGCTGAGGTCCGACTGCAGCAGGTGCCAGCGGAGGTCCACGTTGCTCGTGATATGCTCCGAACACATCAGCTCCAGGCTCGACGAGGACCCGCCGGTGCTGGTAGACTTAGAGTCCGATATCTCTGCGGTGGAAGAAAATTTTACACCAAATAAAATAATGCACTCTTACGGTTTTCTACAATAATTACTTCTGTCGGAAATACAAGGGGTATTCACCGTCGTAGACCATAGGTTGGGTTAAACTATCTTATTTTTTTTTATTTTTTGTACGAATATTTCTTTTTTAATTTTCTAATGTGATCGCTTCTACATGTTTATAAATATGAAGTTTCAGTCTCAACTACTTTATTATCTTTGGAATGTCCATTACAATACATACTTAAATTTTGTAAATCCGTTTTTGGATGTAAGTTTAGAACACAAAATGTATATAAAATGTAACAAAGGGATGTGGATTTTGTTCTAAACTAAAAATATAAATAAATATTTTCACGTTGAACAAAGATCGATACTGTTCGACTTTACATCATCGTACAGTAGGTTTACTCCAAATGTCATGGCAAAATATTTTAAAAATATTTTCGGACAGACAGACAGATAACGAAGTCTTCGTTTAGTAATAGGGTCCCGTTTTTCCCTTTGGAAATGGGACCCTAAAAAAAGTAACATTAATTGCACAAACACGCCAAATAGGGATTGAAGAGTTGTATAGTAATGAATAATAAGTACCTTCTTCATTGGTCTTGGGTGGGCTAGCATTGAAGGGGCACCTGTCCAGGGGAACGGGCACCCTTCGTGACTCCTTGCTCTCGATCAGAATGTGCTTGCCCGGCGCGTACTGGAAGTCCATCTCCTCGGAGGTCAGGTTGGTCACGTCCAGCACCAGGTACAGCTGCGAGGGTCTGGGAGAAGTAAAAGTACCTACAGCTGGGCCAAAGCCTCCTCTCTACAGACGGTTAAGGGCATAGTCCACCAAGCGACCCCGCTGCGGATTGCCGGACTTAACATCTCTTGAAAATATTTTTGAAGTTATACGTCTTTGGCGCGTTGGGAAAAAAACATGAGATTAAAATTTTTTTAGATGCGCGCGCACACCGACCCTCAAAAAGCGACCTCAAGGCGAAGCAACCAATTTCCCGGCAATACCATGACAACCATTAACAACTTTTTGGCATTTACCTATTGGTAAATTATTGCGAATTATTATTCGCAAGTTATTTATATAAATCGTTATCAATTGCATTAAATGTCCTTACTCTAAAGAAGTGTAATTTCTTACGTACGTAAATAAGTACACACATACTTTTTTTATTTGAAGAATATTAAATATATAAACTATGTATTTTATAAATCACACTTACATTTCCGCGGGCAGGACATCCCAATGCGTTATAGAAACGCTAGGCAGCAGTTCCAAATTGAATTGCAGAGTCGATTGACGACAATGCATTTCTTTGCCCACACCACCAGAGTATCTGATGAGCATCTGAAATACAATATTCAGTTTGATATTATGCTAAACCTTAGAAAAAAACTTACTCAATTTTAGCCATTGTATATAGTGGTCAAACATTGCAGGTTAAGTAAAAACAATCATTACTACATTTTATTTCTCTAATGTGGTTTTTCGTCGGTAAGCCTAAATTCAATTTAATGATAGTTAAACAAAATATTAGCAAAAGACACAATCAAGATAGAAAACAAACTACCTTTCACTGTGCGTTTATTAATATCTTATTTATTGTATTACCATTTAGTGACAAAACAATACCCTGTGTAAAATTCTTATAGATTAATAAGTTTAAAAAAATTATAATTTAGGAATCATAGCCTTCGATTCATTCACTTCTTAGTTTATTTTATTAATATTTAGTATAATATAAATACACAGTAACAATTAGAAAAATTGTGAGGTCAATCTTTTGAACCTACCTGAGCTTCTATTTGACGTCCTCTCGACGGCGGCATGACGGAGAGTGGGGCCGACCAACTTGTCGTCTGAGAATTTGAAGATCTGGGGATAAAAATAAAGTTACTTTTTAAAAGTTTCATATTTATTAACTAATCAATATTATCTTAAGATATCAATGTTTCTTCAATTCAAAATATACATGGCAAAACATTGATATCCACCGATACGGTTTTTGTATAGAAAGTTAAATGGATATCCCATCTGTATTAAAAAAATATTGTTTTACGTAAGCAGCACGTAAAAATTTTAATACACACTTTCACATGTACGCGCTTGCATGGTAAAGGTAAGTATACAATTTTTGTTAATAATTATTCTCATTATTTATTAGACATTATTGAACTGCCTGTCAGAAACCTGTGTACTTGACTGAAGGTAGGTTCTTGTGTGTTATTATTTGTTTTGTTCAAGTCATATTTCTTTTGGATTTATGATAAAAGTAGATGATGAGAGTGAATTATTTCATTGCATATAAACAAAGACTACACTGGCACATGGCATAATTTTTTTTGTTATTTATCTTTTGTTACTCTAAAGAAGTATAACTTCTTACGTGCGTGAATATACACACGTACGTGAAATACCATATTTAAATTTTCACGTCTTATAGAGTGCGTGGTGCACAATATAATCGTTATGTATAAAAATTACGTGTCACGATGTTTGTCCACGATGAACTCCTAAACTATTGAAACAATTTTAATAAAATTTTGCACACTGTGTGCAATCTGATCCAACTTGAGAGATAGACTTATAGCCGCAATATTATTTTATTGGAAATAATTTGTTTATTACGTTAAGAAGAGTTATAATTATCTGTGAGTTCCGTAAGATTCTAACAGATGGCGGTGTTAGGTAAATTTATCGGCCAGATTGAGTATCCAATAGATGGCGCAGACGGAGTTGCGTGGGCCAACTAGTTTACTATGAAATGGATTGTATTCCACCCAAGGTCGCTTCGGCTAAGCACCTGAAGCTCCCCGACGTCCTGTTGGCGAGCAGGCCGCTGCTGAGCGAAGTGTGCGGGTTCGAGCCCGGCGTGGGCAGCGAAGTCTGCGCGTTGTTCACCGGGGAGCCGACCCTGGAGGAGTTGGAGATCAGGCTGCTCGGGAATGGGTTCTCCCCCACTCCGAGGTCAAGGAAGTCCGCCTCCGCGTACAGCCTCAAGGGTATTTCGGCCACCCCGCTCGGCGGAATCGGCAGCAGCGACTGAACCTGGTCGCTCGACCACTGGAACACCCGCGACTGCAACTGGCTCTCCATGTTCGACTGAAAGGGATTTGTCGAGGTGACTTGCTAATGAACATGTTAATGAGATGTTCCCAGCGTGGTAAAGACGGGAAGACCTGTGTGAAACGGAACGTTGCTGATTCGAACAACTGAATTAAGTAATGTCGTTATTTATTAAAATGGTGTTTCAATTTATTTCGTTCGAAAGAAGCGTTTTATATTTTTGCGATGAAACGTTTTTATTTCATCTCAACGTCTATCGAGCAATATAAACTCTATGTCAAAATTGACGTGATAACCTGTGCGCCACCTTGTGAATGAGAAATGTAACTGTGTAACTGGGCCACGCAACAGCTTCGGATGTTGCAAGAATGGACAGGTCCGTCCGGGTAAGCACCACGACCTCATAGAAGAGAAGACCGGCGTGAAGTGGAAGTGTCATACTCCTGCGTCTCGTCTGGTGACTGTGGTAGCCGGGGCGTACTTTATTAAAAGGTGGCAACGCATCTTCATCCCTACGGGTGTTGCAAATCCACGGACGACGTTAACACTTAACGTCAGGTGAACCGCCAGCTCGCTTGCCACCATCGCACAAAAAAAAAACTGGTCAAGTGCAAGTCTATCTCGTACGCCGCGGGCTCCGTACCTACCCATTATACCGCCATAATAAAATTGGTAAATAATCACCACAAATTTTCTCAGGAACTGGTGGATATTGCAAGTTGAAGTTTATACCAGATACTGAAGTCTATAGTCCCTATTAGATGTGTAAAATCAAGGTCAAATCAAAAAAATCAAGGTCCTGAGTCAACACGATCAAAAGAAATTGGCAAATTTTAACCCTAAAAAGCAAGCTCAGAGTTCTGTTGCTACCTGAATGGATAAGTCCAGGTATTCGATTGGCACCGAGCTGGTGTTTGTGATCTTGATGGTGCATTCGGTTCCCTCGCCGTTGTACAGGGTGACGTTGATGCCGTGGCCTTCGCAGCTGGGCAGGTCCAGGTGGCCGGCCAGGTTCAGCGTGGTCTCTATCGCCACCGTCGGCAGGCTGGGTATCACTTCGATGACGAACGAAGGCGGGAACCTGTGTTATAATTATTGTACAGTCTAGCTGCTGCCCGCCACTACGTCTGCGTAGAATAGGCTGAAGGCAGCTATACATAATTATATTCAGATAGATATAAAAATATGTATATAAATTATAGGCCTATGTGTTGTTCTGATGCATCAGTATGCATAAGCTATATTATTGTGAAGTATCATTAAAATCCATTAGTATTTGCGTGAAAGAATAACAAACATCCATCCATACATACTTTCGCCTTTATAATATAAGTAAGGAAGTAAGGATTTAATCTAATTAATAATTTTCAATAATTTATTAGTACAGTTGTGATTTATTTAAAAGTTTTTAGTTTGACATCTATTGCGTCGTGATATTTCCTATACCCTAGAGTGGGGAGCGGTTGATATTTATTTTAGAGGAGTATAAAACTCTTCCAACGTACGGGGGTTAGTTTTTGGTTATTGGAACTTAAGGCTGTTGCTCTGCTGGAAAAGCTAAGTACTATTATTATGCAACTATTGAGTTATAGTTGTATACAGCGTATCTTTACAATCGCGACAATAAGTGAACACACATATAGAGGATAACTTTTTAAAATTGTATTAAACATTTAATTTCTTTAAACATCAATATTTACAGAATTATTAAATTTTCCAAAACAAAGAATTTTAGAACAACCTTACGTATAAAACTGTAACGTAAAGTTCATTTGTAAAGGTCACAAACCATGTGAATGGGTTGAATGAATTGACTGAAATGGAATGAAATGGCTCGTAATGCGACGCTGTGGCAACGAATGAAACAGTCTCTGAATGTATGAATCAGTCAGTTGTAGTTGTATAGGATCTTACAAATTTTGTTTCTTTTTTACTTAATTCGTTTGTTTGAAAAATATTTTTTTTTAATTATGGATTTTTAACGTTAATATTTTTTTATGGTTATTGGCAAGAAGCGAAGGTTATTTGCGAAATTAACCACGTCTAACGTGGGTTAATTTATTGTCCCGATGGTAACGACACGGTGTATATCGGTAAAAGCTATGTTTTGTAACTTAACACAACACTTCTAAGACCTGTTCGCCGCCGGCAGGTTCCTCAGGCGGCAGTTGGACTTGACGCCGAGGGTATGGGTGGAGTAGCCCAGGATCTGCAGCTCGCCCACCTCCTTGGGCGTGCCGTGCAGGCTGACCGTGGTGGGGCTGTCCGGGGGCAGGATTATCGTCTCCGGGATCGACTCGAACACCACCCCGGAGGTGAGGAGGCGCATGTTGGACACCTTCAGCTCGAAGGGCAGCGGGTTGGTGAGCTTCATCTGCACCTCGCACACGTCGTCCTCCACCCATAGGTATTCTGTGGATGGGACGGCGTGCGACCGTTTGGGTTTTTTTTAAATGTGTAAAGTTGCCAAGCGAACAGGCGGTTCACCTGATGTTAAGTGTATACCGCCGCTCGTGGACATCTGCTTTACAGATGCGTTGACAAGCTTTGATTACAAACCTTTTGTTACAAACATTTGTTTAACCTGTTTTGATCGGGACATCGATCACCGATTATGACACACTAGATAATAGTAAGCAATCGTCTGGCTAATGGTCACAAAATCTATTACCAACGTTATTCGCAATATGAATGAGACAGAAAGCGATAAGGATAGAGGGTAATACTTCATCCGCACTGATTAGCAGCGGTCTCTAGTAAAACACTTTCATAGTTTAAATACTGCTAGCGCAGGATTCGTGCTCGGTAGCACTAGACAGGATTCACTGCGAATAACTCCAGAGGCGCAATCGCTCACCCACTCGGCCCTCGTCCTGGCGCGCCTTCCTCTCGAGGCTGCCGAAGTGAATGGGCGTGAAGATGAAGGGCCCCTGCGGCGCCTTGGCGCGCAGCGGGTGCGGCGCGAGGGGCGCGGCGGGCGGGCGCGGCCCGAAGCCCGAGCAGAGCGGCACCCGCGTCAGGTTCGCCGGCGGGATCACCGCCCCGCTCTCCAGCACCAGCGGCACCGGCCCGCCCTCGCACTGCGCCGACACCGCCTGCCCGCCGACAGTGCGACTGGTATAAGAGCCGACGCTAGTGCATATCCGCCCTTATCGAATACCGAATGCGGCTTGATCCAAAACTAGTGCAGATCAGGCCTTATCTGCAATAGTTCCCGACCCCACTTTTCACAAATCCGGCTTGAGCCAGCGCTAGTGCACATCTACTCTTATCTGCACGTGTTCCCGACGCCACTTTGCGCAATTCGGATGCGGCTTTAGCTAACGCTAGTGCAGATCCGCCCTTATCTGAAGGTATTCCCGACACCACATTGCACAAGTCAAATCCGGATTGAGCTAACGCTAGTGCAGATCCGCCCTTATCTGAAGGTATTCCCGACACCACATTGCACAAGTCAAATCCGGATTGAGCTAACGCTAGTGCAGATCCATCCTTATCTGCACATATACCCAACGTCACTTTGCAAAATTCGGATCAGGCCAGAGCTAACGCTAGTGCAGATCCCACCTTATCCGCACGTATTCCCGACGACACATTGCCCAAGTCTAATCTGGATTGAGGTAACGCTAGTGCAGATCCGACGTGCTTTCAATATATAGCGGACAACAGAAAGCACGAAGGCAAAAACTTAGAAATATGCCTGTTCCCTCAAAACTTGAGCTCCAGATTAATGAACAATGTCTGAGATTTTTCAGCCCGCGAAGAAAACTATCCTTATGTGCCCTGTGACCCACCATGCTTTACATAGACAATAGGACTAAAAACGAAAGCGTCATCATATAACAAAGCGCATGGCAAGATTTAAGGAGCTTGCTTCGTTTACTAATTTTGTTTTCCTTACTTACTTTTAGCTGTGATTTACGCGTTTAGAGCTACGAAGCATTTATGTTTCGTGTGGTGATTGAGACAGATGTAACTGGGCGGTGGTAATCGGGTGACGTCAATCGCTTCAGCTTATTACTTGCACCGACCTGCAACTGAATAGCCAGATCCCGATGCTCCTGCCGCGATAGATGCGGCCACATGGTCTGCAGCAGGAATGTCATGTGTCGCGTCGCTAGGGCGGGGTGGCCCATTCGCCGGGAGGCTACCACCAGCTCTTGCAGCAATTGGATCTGGAGGGTGGGCCAACCTGCAGGCAATAAGGTGCAAGAGTAAATTTCAGTTGGGTCGACTTGTCGGGAGAAGTACCGTGATTTGGGAAGACCTTCAAAAAACATAACCACTAACCATTAGTCATTCAGCTGCCATTTTACTGAATAGTTATTTTCAAGTGAGACATATGGGATATTGATTGGAAAAAGAATAAAGATTTTTTTTTTCCTGGATGATCAATGTTCTCTAAACTTTATTTAAATGCGAGAAAAAAATAAGAGAAATAGTGCACTTTTCAAGTTCAAATTCAACGCCTTTCATTTTTTTTATCTGTTGGGTCGTAAAAAGTGTTGCTCGGAAATGTTTTCCAAGAACTTAATAGAATTACATAAATCTTTGGTTTGTAGTGAAGGGGAGCGTGGCAGTGCTAGCCCGGGTACACGGTCTTGTGGTTCATTCCGTACGTACCTATTTGGTGCTGCACCACGTAGCTAGGGTCCAAATTGAGCTTGTGCCCCGGGAAACTGTTCAGCATGAGGTAGTAGCAGCGCTGCCAATCGGGGTTGGGGTTGTTCGCGCTGACTTGGCGGGTCGCGGCCAATCGCTGGTAGAAAGCGGCCTTGCGTAGGAAGCCTGGGTAGCAGGCGCAAAATATTATTAAATAACAGCGCGTTTTGGGGAAAACGATGAGTGATGACTATGCGAGACACCTAAAAGCAACAATAACTTATTGATATAAGTCTCAGTTACTTCACTAAACCGTTATCAATTGCACTTAAAGACCCATTTACACGGTGCAAGTTTCTTGCCTGTTGTATACAATTAAATTGAAACAATAAATGAGTTGCATGGTCTAAACAACAAATGGTCTAACAAATTATTGCGCGCAATTTATTGCATTCAATTATTGCTCTTGTATGTACAAGAAAATGGCATCGTGTAAATGGGCCTTAATGACACAAACGGAGACTTCTGATACACGAGATAAATTTTGAAGTTACACTTGTGTCATGGGCACGTTTGGAAAAATGATGAATACATGGGAGTAAAATTTTTACGAAGCGCGACCACACCGCCCCACAAAAAGCGACATGCTGTAGTTGGTTATAGAGCCACCAACTTCAACAGGCTGCCGAGGTAATACCGTGAAGTTCGTTGCAAAGCAATAACAACTTTTTGGAATTTACCTACACAATTTTTAGGTATTTATTATCATTCTAATGTTGCTCTAAAGAATTATAACTTCTTACGTGCGTACAAAGTAGACACACACACACCCACACACTTATTTTTAGTTATTTTTCGTTTGTTGCGCTAAAGAATTATAACTTCATACATGCATACATAATTACACACACTCACACTTTTTTTAGTTATTTTTCGTTTGTTGCGCTAAAGAATTATAACTTCATACGTGCATACATAATTAAACACACACTCACACTTTTCTTTGTTATTTTTCGTTTGTTGCGCTAAAGAATTATAACTTCTTACGTGCGTACATAAGTACACACACACTTTTTTTCCGCATAATAATATTTCAAAAAAAATATCATTACCGATTTCCTTGTAGATCTCGGCGAGCGTGTCGAACCTCTGATTAAAAATATCTTCTCCTGTTCGCTCAGCGTGAGGTTTATGAATATCACGTTCTGCAGGAAGCTCGAGGTTAGCAGACTGTTGTTCTGCTCGACGGCGATCCTCGCTGCCTTGAAGCAGGCTTCCGTCTCGATGATACCGGCGTTCTGGTATTTGCTGTAGTGTATTATCGCTTTGCGGTACTTCTCCGCTATGTCTTCGCCGCTGAGCAGGTACTGGTTGTTGATCTGGGCGGGCCTTGGAATGGAAGCGAGGTCCATGCTGAGGTAGGACTTAGTCTGGAATTCGATGTCGCTCGACGCCAGCGATTCGGTGTCCGCGTTGTCGGTCTCCGACTGTCTAGATGAAGTCTCTACGCTCTCGGAGGAAGAGGGCGTGAGTTCGCTCGGCGGGTTCACTGGGCTGGAGTTTTTGGACGATCGCAGGGGCGATGACGTCAGCTTGAACTTTCTGGAGTCGGCGCCCGGTTGGAACAGCGACAGCGGCTTGGCCTTGTTCGGCGAGCTCTCCTGTAGGCTGGCGTTCCTTTGGAGCGGCATCGTGTTTCGTAAGTTTGGGTAGAGGAGTATCGCTGATGCCGCACAGTGACCTGGAAGCGTTATCGTATCGTCTTAGGTGATTAATTGAATATATACTTTTTTCTGTGTGAATGTAGCAAGCGACCTGGCGGCCCACCTGACGTTAAGTGATAAACGCGTAGGGTTGTGCATGCGTTGCCACTTTTCAATAAAGTGGGTCCTGGCTACCTTACTAACCAGAAGGAACGTAAGGAAGTATAACGCTTCCACTTCACGACGGTCTTCTGTTAGGTCGTGGTACTTCCCCGGTCGTACCTGCCTATTCGTGCAATAGCGAAGAATGTTACGTGGCCCTACCACAATTCGATTTATATTTATTCGCGATTATATTTTATAAATTTAAACAAATTTTACGACTATATTATATATATAGCTTTTATAGACCATAGATCCTTGAAAAAGAACACCGATTCCAATGAAGGATGATTCGCCAGGCTATTGAAATTCGGGTGATTTTTATTAAAAATTAAAAAAGAACAGGTGTGATCCCAAGTTGCTCCTGAGTTCCTCACCTGATGGTGAGCTTAGGATCATTAAACAAATTAAAACTAGACCCAAACAACAACTGCAGGACAAGATAAAATTAGCATGTTCTGTATAGATCAACACTCGTCGACATTTAGACGTCCTGTGAAGTTCCATAAACGCTGTAAAGGGTTCGAAACATCGGGAAATAAAAATAAAAAGTACACACGATAAATCCTTAAAATTAATTTAATTTTGTTTATATAGTAACGTAAAACCCACTCTGAATTCATAAAATTAATTCAGTACTTCTTAGGTAGTAAATACTTTTTAACTTTAGGATGACAATGTTGTGTTAGTTAATTAGACAGAAATAATCCAGCTACAAATCATAAAAATTTTTACCTTCTTTCGCTGCAGCCAACCACAACCAATCATTCACAGACTTAAGTATTTCCGCAGCTGAATGATATAAACTCAAACTCTCAGCTACAAGTCCAGCTTGTAATGTAAGATCAGCTAAATTTTTCGTGACTCGTCCCATACAGCGCTTTTTGTTATTACGCGACTCCATATCCAAACCTTTAAAATATGTCAATTGTTTTATTATTAATTAAACAATTTAATGTTAATTATGAAGCTCCAAAGCATGTACTACTTGGATAGTGGCAATAAGAATAAAATTCTGTTCACCTACAAAGTCCTTTTTCTCAAAAGGCGCCAAAAGTAATGAGACTTTGTCAAGCTTTTCTCTGGACCTCTCGAGTCTTTTAGACTCTACCACCCAAAAAAGAGAATTGATAAGATCAGCTACATTCTGTTCAAGATCGGGCACGGGGTCATTTTCCCCATAAAACATGGCATGGGTTTTAAAATTAGATGGTGTTGTGAAGTTTTCCTCTTGTACAGCATAAGAAGAATTGGATGATGAAGATTGGGGAAAGCTTTCCATTGAAGACAAGCTGTCTGCTGGATCACTTGGCACAGGTGTTCTGAAAATAATATGGATCATCAAAGTTCTGCAAAAAAAGACCTTCCCTTCAGTAAAATTATTTAACTATAATGTTCAATCCTCACATGAGAAAAAAATTGTTTTGACCATAGTTTTTAAGGTCTAGTTGCACTTTATAATGTTTTGATTTTCTCACAATGAGAGTTGTTTTTCAAAATAAAACCAAATAAGTCAATGTAATTCTTTTCTAGTTTGTTTTTATTGAATTTGTAGCAATGCTTGGCATTATCTATTGAGATTCCTTTACAGCACTCAAAATTTCTCAAATTTCATTTAAAAAATGAAATTTGCATTTGTTAAATTGTGTATTTGAAAACTAGAGATGTCACCTTTGCAATTTTTTTAAGGTTTTATCAACACATTTTTTTATTTTTTATTCCGAATTTGTTTTGGGGTTTTTATCCTTTTTGGATATGTCAACCCCATTGTGACCATCTCATTTTTATGCTTTAGAAATACACTATCTAAATTATTGTGAGAACACAGAAGCTGCACAACATAATTTTTTTGCATCATCTGAAATTGGCAGAGACAAGATAGACTGCGCAATTCCTATGTTGTAAGAGTTTATGTTCAAGGCTCCCATCACTTCCTCTCTCTCCTTTTTGTTTTTGACACATTCCATCAAAACATGTTGTACATCCTCCTCAACCCCACACAGATTACAATTCGGAGAGTTTGTTTTTTTCATAATGTATGCAAATTTGTTTGATGGAATATGTCCAGAACGCAATCTTAAAAATATTTTTATGATTCTCCTATTATGACTCAGATTGCAAAGTTTTATACCAGATTCCTTTTATTTTAGAGTTTTCATTAAAATATTCCTTCCAGTTCTTGTAATTTTGTATTTTAAATTTGTGTAATATTTCTGTATGATCAGGTAGGATGTTAATTTCGGCTCCTTGGGAAGAACCTGTTTTGGCCAGTCTGTCTGCTACTTCATTACCGTGTATTCCAAAATGAGCAGGAATCCATTGCAATTTCAGTATCCTCCCTCTTTCTTTCTTCTAACTTTAATATTTTTTCCAGTATACAATAAGCTATTGATACACCTCTACGACCAGAAGCGCATTGAACCAGGTGTTGTAAAGCACTTTTACTATCTGATAGAATAACTGTGTTGTTCCAATCTTTATCAATCACAAAGGACAAGGCTTCTGAAATTGCAATGAGTTCCGCTGTCATTATTGACACTTCAGACTTAATATTAAAATAAATTCTATGTTGTTGAAAAGGAACATAAAAAGCTGCACCTATACAATTATTTTTTTTGGAACCATCTGTAAAAATCTTATGCCATCCTAAATATTTTTCGTTAAGTTCCTTCAGAACATTATATTTAATACAATTACGTTCACACTAGCTATACCTTTTTTAATGCTATCTAAGTTTATGTATATCATATCTTTAGTACTTATGTGTGCTCCATATATTTATGCCAATATCTTAAATTACATAGGGACGACAGTTTGCTTAATAATTCTATTGTAACATTATTGGACCATGACTGGCTTTTTAAACAATATTTATATGCAAGGTATTGTCTTCTTATGAATAGAGGCGGTAAACTAAGTTCGCTTTCCATTACATGAATAGGAGTGCTCTTTAAAAATCCACCAATTATTCTCAATGCTTGGTTCTGTAATCTATCTAGTTTTGAGACTTGAGCTTTGGCACTTCCATCGTAAAGAAAACTAGCATAATCGATTCGGCTTCCAATCAATGAAATATATAGTTTCCTAACATGTTTTTGATGTACCCCCCATGTAGGACCCACTAAAACTTTTAGCAAATTTAGCAATTTGGAAGATTTTTGTTGTTCGTTTATATGTTTATTCCATGTGAGACATTAATCTAGCCACATACCCAAATGTTTTATGTAGGGTGAAACTGTCAGATTGTAATTATTAACAGAAATAATAATTAATCAACACAATTTTGAACTTCACCTTGAGTTCAGAAACTACCACTAGAAAGCTTAATATTTTGAAAAAGTTATATGTAACAAAGTATCAACTTACTTGTCTGATATACAGCTTCTATCTTTAGACAGTTTATCATCTTCATATATACTGTATGTCTCTGGTTCTTGTTCAGGTTTTTTAAGGTTACTGCCTGGCCCAAACATAAAAGCTCGGGAGTCATAAAGTGTGTTAGAGTATTTAACTTTAAGAGACTCATGAACCCGACAGACTTCATTTAACTCAATCTGATTTGTAAATTTACTTAAAGTTATTAAACCCAGTAAACGCCTAAAATATCAAAATAATGAATCAGCTCCTTAATAGAACTTATTTGGTGTTAAGTTAGAATATCAATTACACTTTATGTAAACTTATTTTCACTGAAAAATAATTTTTACCTATGAGTCTGAAAATCTCCCCAATCATTATTTTCAACTGGATAGTCTCGAACATATCTAACCCAAATGTCCCTTACTTGACCAGTAGAATCTGAAAAATTACAGGTTTAATTTAAGCCTGGAAGAGTAGCTCAAAGTTGAATTTTAAATTGCATATTAAAGTGTGTTGAATTTACAAATTGCGATTATTGTATTGTTGTTTTTACATACCAGTGACTTTAATATTATTAACTTTCTGTATGCGCTCCCACAGTTTATTAAAGTTCTTTAAGACACCACCAATACCTTTGACCAGCACCAAAAGACAAGCATGATGCTGGGCATGTTGCGCATAGTCTGGGTGCGACATTACAGACTCTCCAGGCGCGTGAGACAATATATAACTAACCGATGAGCGCATTGATAATGCAAAATATAAATATTTGATTCTAATGAACTTAGTTTTCTAATTTAGTGAAATCATTGTCATAGTGCTTAATCATGAATGTGATGAATAATATAATTTGAAAGAAGATTTATAATATTCGATACAGTTAAGAGACAAATTGGGACAGTGAAACCTGTGAAAATAATCAATGTTAATTAGACAGCTGTCAAAGTACAATCAAAATAATTATTTTGATTGTACTTTGACAGCTGTAAGCTTGTAAATGTACTAGCTAGGCTAGCTCTGCTGAAATTAGTGTTGCATATCGATAGTCTTCTATCGATAGACATTCGATTATCAATCGATAGTTAAGGTAAAAGCAACAATATCGGTAGTCTACCAATAGTATCGATGGCTCTCCAAGTGCCAATACGATTGATAACAGCAATAGTATCGATAGTAATGCATGCGATAGTATCGATGGTATCAATAGTATTGCAATTGCCATTAGTTTTTGACAAAAATTATCGATACTATCGATAATATCAATTTATTCCCGATATATCGATATTCGATATTTACTTTCTACTATCGAATTTGTATTCGAATTCGTATTAATTTCGATATATTTTTAGCGCAGCTCTGGTTTGGCGTTTAGTGTTAGGTACTGTATGTGTGCACAATAATACTTTTTTTTTAATAAAGATTTTATGGCCTGGTAACAAGACCTTTTAAGCCAATACCACGAAAATACTAATTACTAACACTATTAAACCATCAATGTGAGACGTATATGACCTTGAATTTAACAAACAATTAACAATTTTATTAGATATTTTCTTTTCAATCAAAAAAGTTATAAAAAAGACAAAAAATTGCATATGTAGAAATTTGAAAACTCTAAGTATAATTTTTTCTAAATTTTCTTTATAAGTTATCGTTAGAAAAAGTTTCATGTATTATTAGACGTCGGCTAACTTGAAACTGCCGTATTCTTACATAAAAATCACGAAAGTGCTGTATTTTATTTATTTTGATTAATTAAAACATACATAGTCATTAATATGATCATCATAGGGATTCTTAATCGAATCAATTATTTCACTGTCATGTTTATTTAAACAACCTAATATGTTCTAATTTTGCATTTTCGCACACATATCATGGAAAAGTTCCATTTACGGTATTGCAGTAATTAGTTTGTTTCTCAACTTCGTTTTGAAATTGTTTCCTTCACTAAATATTCACAATCAGCATTACAATGAGGTAAACATCCATTTTTCATAAATTTTCGAAGATCGTTTTTATTCTTGATGATTCGAAATAGTTCACCACAGCCATAGTATTCAGTGTTCAGCCACATTATTGATGGGAGATCAGATTTTAAAAATACCATTTTTTGATAACTTTGCAACTTGTAGATAGTAAGCCATGACCATTAGATTTGTATTCTATTTGGTACCCTAATCTCTACAAACTCGGCCAGAGATTTCCAGGAATTCCAACTTTTATGACATATGCTATTGGGGAGCCAAATGACTTCCACTTCCACCGGTTGGTAGCGGCCTTCATCCAACACGTCCTTGCGATCTTTAGTAGGTCGTCCATCCACCTTGGGTGAGGCCTTTCTACGAGCCTATTATTGCAATTTTATTCGATGTTTGGATATAATAGTGAATTACTCAGAGCTAATTTGTTGATTGATTGTCTGCTTGGTAGAAGATTTAACACTTTTCATACTGTGATATTATTCAGTCAAAAATCATTATTTTGACGTAAAACATTTATTGGCGCATATACGTCACTTCTCTGCATAAGCTGCGTACTATTTTTATCGGACTATAGTATTCTTAATACGGTTACTGCTCGTATAAACGTATTGTATATTTTTGATATAGAATATTGCTGCGTTTAAGTTAAAAAAATCGAATTAATTCGATTGAAGTATCTCATCATTCTTATGAATGTTATTATTTAACTTCATGTGGATTACTTTCAATTGTTTCCACTATACATCAAGGTCAAAGCCAAGATACGACCCTCCATTGGAATGAGACGTGGATCATGTTATTAGTCCCGGTCAGAGAGCAACAACGGCCTGTTTGCGGAGGTGCAAGGTGTTGACTGGTAATCTCAGATTATACATACTCTAATTATGTCAACTCTGACCTGTTTGGTTTATGTATTATGTTTGAATTACTTTAAATTAAATTTGGAATGTTATTAGTTTTATTTGTTTAGACTGAATTGTCATATTTGATTGATTCCGTAAAAATCGTTTGAAGATGTAACATGTGTAGCTATCTGACATAACTCCTGTATTTTATATAAATTCAGTAATGATTACGTTTGGTCCAAAAATAAGTTCAAAATGTTTAAATTGAAATAAACAGTTTTCCTATCAGTCCTTAAGTGTCTTTTTGGTTTGAGAGCGATCCCATGAGCCACACCCACCATTCAAGATAAGGGAGCGGATTAGCCATCGTTTTTAAGCTTGGATGTTCTCTACTGAGTCGGTCGCATTCTTAATTTTCGACGAAGCTTTCAAAGCTGCCGAGCTAACAACTTATACTAAACTTCACCTAAAGAGAATGTATTTTTATGTCTTTGCCTTTGGCCATAGAGCATATAAAAAATCTAAAATATAAATCTGCTTTTGGCTTTTGGCAACTTTATCCGAGAGGTGTCAATTCAGATTTGTTCCGTACATCTACATATGTCTTATCTATGGATATATAAAAGTTTTCTTTGGTTTCTTCACTTCTTCAAAGTTCAAATCAAACAGATAAATAAAACTTTAAACTTATAACCTATAAATTTGAGTATCATTAGAAGTCTAAAGTAATAATATAAATCAACTTTCGAGAGTTGCAAATTATTATTGTTACTTCATTTTTATTTAGCGCTAATGGCATCAAAAGAAGGAGGTGAAAAAAGCAAGGTACTGAACAGTTAAATATGTAAACATTATCGCTACTTAAATGTAAATTGTGTGAGTAGTCATCTAATAACTTATTTTTCAGAACGCTCAAGGCACTGGAGATAATAAAGAGAAGCGTAGAAAAGAATCTATTCTAGATTTAAGTAAATATCTGGAAAAAAGCATACGAGTTAAATTTGCCGGTGGACGTGAAGCGGCGGGTATTTTGAAGGGCTATGATCCACTGTTAAATCTGGTTCTAGACAATACAACAGAGTTTTTGAGAGGTATTTATAATTCTGGATGTTGTGAGTTATTTTGACGTTGATTTGAATCTTCAATTCGTAATCATCTTTTGTAAGGTAGCAAGAGATATTTGGGCAACAGATTATAATGAAACTATTTTGCTCATTCCTGCTACAGCAAAGACTTTTGAATGGCCATACTAAAGTTAAAGTTCTATTATGCTTACCTATAAGTTCTACATTTAAAATAATAAGGAAAGTATATAATTATAAATAGTTAATAAATAATTTTACAGATCCTGATGACCCATACAAGCTACTTGATGACACTAGAGCTCTTGGTTTGGTTGTTTGCCGAGGGACATCAGTTGTACTAATATGTCCAATGGATGGCATGGAGGCAATACCAAATCCATTTATAACACAAGAAGGATAGAATGTGTATATACTGATATTTTTATAAGGATATAAATTACTATAAGTAATAAATAAGTATTAAAATTATATTTTACTATTATTGCACATATAAAAGTATCCCTTAACTTAAAAAAATAATACTCATCAAAATCTCAAAGTTAAAATAGTCGTACATGTACATTCACACTAAATTTCATTTCATGTGGTAACTGGGAATTTGGATATGTTAAATATGGTAGTTTATTTTTAATCAAAGCCAAATTCATTTCTTATCCATGGGTAGCTCTTTGGGCAGTCCACACATGTTATCATGTATTTGTCATGCTCTAATACTTTGGATGGTAATTTGCATGTTTTAGGCTTGTTGCAAGCAATCTCATTTTCATTGAAACGGCGAACTTTGCACTGCCACGGTTGAAACTTTTTCAATTGCAACACTGGTGTTGGTCTTTTTATCCAGTCAATGACCTCACGGTATGTTACAAAATAGACATCAGGCAGCCGCAAGAGTTCGATTATAAATCTCTGGAAAAAAGTTCATAAATTTTATACCTGAAAACTTTAATAACAGGAACTAAATAACTATGAAGTAAATATTATCAATGCATATTAAAAGAAATATTGTTCTCTGGGAAATGTTTATCTGGAGTATAGTTAAAATGAGCACAGAATTACTGAAGTGTATATTAATTAACAGTTCATTGATAAAATAAGATGTAAATAACTAAATGATAATGATTTAAAAATTTATTCAATAAATTGAAGTCTTAATATTACCTTTAGTGCAGCAAGATAATGGCTGTTTTTGAGCCATGTGCCACTTAAATGTATACCAAATGGAGCTCTATTTTTCAGGTAATGTCTTTTGAAGTTATTTATTAATATGTTGTATATGTCTTCACCACTCAAAGTTGATTGGCAATATTCTAAAGTAGCACATGTTTGATTGGCATTTGATAGAGGATTTATTACCATTTGCCACAAACCAGCATAACTCCTTGTAGGACAGTATTGGTTATTCTCTGTAAAGTAAAAGTTCATTAGTTATTAAAAAGATTAATACATCAGAAATGACTGTGGTGTATATATTGTTGCAATATATATTGAGATAAGCGAAGCAAAGATTAGAAAGTTAGAAGAATCGTTAATTTCGATACATGAATGTGGCTGAAAACACTAGCTGATTAAAGAAGGAAGTTGCGGCCACGACATTTTAGGCGCAGCGCATTGTGTTTCGACTATCTTTTGTTACAGGAATTCTTAAGTTCTACATTTAATATCTCTTCATTCCCTATAATTTAATATGTTTGAACGAGTGTTTAAGTGCTATATCATTATATTCCGAAACTTTGCATCATGCAATTGCAATTATCCAAGTTTGCACCTATATTAAGTATACAGATGAGAGATGACTGCAATAGTTTCTTTAATAGATCTTGTTTCTTGAAAAATGGTGTATAGCTTTTTGTCTGTCACTATATACATTTACGACATTTTTATTTATTGTTGCACGCAAAATAACTAGACGCCGCTGAAACTATTGCATGATACGACCGGCTTGTCTAGCCCCGCAATAAACCAACTTACAGCAAAATGATTTTTACTTTCGCGTTTCGTTTGGGGAATATTCGTAGCTATAACCTTATATATACACTTAAAGGTAAATAAAAATTTCTCTATTGTACATCCATGGGTGGCGGTAATTATTTATATTTAGGTGAAGCCGTGATAGCTGTCTTGCGGCGCTCCTTTTATATCATATATTCTTTAATTCAATATACTCGAGCAATCCGAGTTCAAATACCGGTGCTGACACCAATGAATACTTTGTAAATAAATTTGCCTTGAATTGTCTTACATATTAGTAGGATACAAGTAGGCTGTTACCATACTTTTTTAAGCGGCAGCTTTTTTGCCGTATAATTATAAAAGGAAAAAATTATAAAATAGTTCAATGTCACTCTTTGATGGGGTGGACCTAGGAGGAGTCATTCAAAGCTGAATATATTTAGTTCGTTGCCTAATTAAATTTTTTTGTCTCGATCTGACCGTAACACGATAAAATCTGAGCCTGTTTCGATTGGGATCATCCATGCCAGCACTTCGAAAGACTCGCCTTTTCGTAAAAAAAAAACTATAAAACGACAAAGTTACCCGTGCAAGCATGCGGCATTTTGTAGTCGTGCGTGTAAGGCCAATATGGTGGATCGGATAGCGGAGCCACTATCGTCGCGTCGTACACGAAGCCGAACTCTTGCATCATGAGGAATTGGCGGTTCCAGCCTACAGAGAGGTACGGCACGCGGAGGCCCCTGCGATGGAAGCGTAAAAAGGACTCATGACTGATATTTGGGATGTGGAAAATGCAAAAGACGTATCGGTATATAGATATATAGGTAAAATGGTAATGGACTGGCCGCCTGCCTGAAGACATAATTATCCCTGGGTCAATCAAACACTTGTCCCGGGTGGGAATCAAACGCAAATCCTCCGGCGCCGAAGCCAATAACTTAGCAAATGCGCCTTCGAGCCATCGCTGTATAGAGATTCAAATAGTTTCTTAAATACGTTTTCGTGGCTACATTCATAGGTATTTATAGTATATAATTATGTTTTGAAAATAATTATAGAGGCTATGTCATGTCCTCTATATCTCATGGACGAGCCGTGATAGCTCAGTGTCCGGGCGCTCGCCTTTAATTCAATATACTCGAGCAACCTGAGTTCGATCCCCGATGCGAGCACCAATGAAGTATTTAACTTTAAGTGCTGACTTATCACGTGCTCCGCGATGAAGGAAAACATCGTGAGGAAACCTGCAAATTTTTGAAGTAATAACAAAAATATATATATTTCGAAAATGTGAAGTCCGCCAATCCGCAGTGGGGCCGCGTGGTGGACTATGCCCTGATACCCTCGGTATAGAGGAGGCCTTTGCCCAGCAGTGGGACATGTATAGGCTGTTACTTTACTTTACTTTACTATGCCATGTTAATGAATCTCAACTTACCAATTGAAACTTTAGTAAACCATAGTAAGAATCTTCATAATCACCTAACCCTTTTATTTTTTTTGCTGTTTTATCGATATTATTCTGTGGTCAAACTATCCTGTGACATCATGGGCTTCACTGATTGCCCTATGATGTCCTATTCTAGATTTACCAATACGGTGCAATCTGCACAACCAAAAAACTTACCTGAAGTCTTCCATCCAGACTTTGCCAAACCTGTTGATTATATTCGCTTGTCCGACCATCTCGTCGAACCAGTCTTCGACGGTGGCGTTCTTCGACCACCATTCCTCCGGTCCACGGTGGCTACGCAGTAATAAAAATGTGGTCTTATTGAGAAAAAAAAAATGACATTTGGTATTTGCGATGATAATGAGAAGTAATTTAAGAAGAAACTCGTAAACCGTTGACAGTTTATTAACTAATGTATTAACGAGACCTTAATTAATTTAACATGGATATTTGTTGAATTATTTTATTACTATTTGCATTTTTTGTAAATAAAAATTAATAATGTTTCGTGCTAACTATGTAAACAAACTCTTGTAATTTGACAGTGTAATTTGAATATGTTCTGTTAAACTTTTATACCGTAAATAAATTCAGTTCGGGATTTCAGCAATGTTGTAAAAGTAAGTAGGTAAGAACGTTGTAAAAGTAAGTAGGTAAGGATTCATCATACTGGAAATTTTTGTTTACTTTAATAATTAAACGAAAACCAGTGTTATCTTCATATTATGAGTTATGTAACCCATGTTTCATATAGGTGCATGTTTTAGTGGTACAACATACACTTATGGGAATTCAATATAAACACGTCCAGCGTCCTTATACATAGTTTGAAAAGGGTTTAAATATGTGACTTCGTCAGCATTTAAAGACGTGAGTACTTTCAGATTGCTTATTTTTCCTTTAATAACATATGAGTACCTTAAGAAATATCACGAAGAGAAAACGAGACATTGATACACATAATAACTTACGTAACATCTGTTAATGTCGAGTCATTAAACTTGAAAAAGGTTAAGAGAAAACGGATCGACACGTTGGTAACTCAACTACAACCTTTAAATATCAATGAATAATGTTCCTATGTTTCTTTTGAGTCTCGTTACAAAAAAAAGCAAAGACGGATATATTTGTGATATTTTTTTAGCTCACGTGTAAAGAAGAATTAATAGCGACTTACGTTATGGAGTTAACTGCAATTTCATGCCCATCGTTCCACAACTTCTGCACGTGCCTATAGTTTGTATAGGGGTGCGAAATAAAGAAGGTGGCTTTAATGGGGCACCCGTTGGGATTTTTTCGGTCAGATGTGAATAAATGTTTCGTGTAAATATCCCAGTTTTCGTGGTTAACTGCGCCATCGAAGGTGAGAGTTATCATTTGAGGTGTCTGCAAATGATAAAAAGTTCGATCGTAAGAAAGACCTAAGTCTCCCTTATTTTTGTTTAATTGTCGACTATGAAATAGATCCTATCCAAAAAAATATGCAATGTAGTGCAGTGCTTTATGCAATAGGGAGACATCATAGTTTTACCTACTTATTATTCAGATTAAAACGTTTTTTGATTTAATAACTGATTTTTTAAAATATATGTTCAGATCAAGCGTGAATTGTCTTTTTACTTCTCTTCATGACTTAGTCTTTTTAAAATGACCGCAATCAATTTTTTAGTAAACTACTTTACGTATTGTAGAGCCGCGTTTATACCTTTTTCAACTCATAATATAAAAACGTATTGGCGTAAAAAGAAATTTTAGAACAAAAGTAAGCTTCGCGTCTATAGGTATTCCGATCGTTGCATCGCGGCGTCTCGCTACAAGTTTTTCCTCCGTGTCATCGGAGAAAACACGTGTTGAAAACATAACATGCACAGGCACGTCCGGTAAACAAGAAAGCAGTTATATAAGCGGTTCGCGATTGAAGCGCTAAAACGGAAACGGGCATTACCACGCTATGAGCTCGCCCGAGCGATTACCTGATTCGGAATGAGATTTCCTGGTATTTCTTTGCCGCTTTTCGTGCAGAAACAGTCGGGCAACAGGCACATGCCGGGATCGCACGGTTCCGCGGAATTTGGGTCCGAGTTTAAGTCGCACCAGCCCTAGAAGAAAGTTTATTGGTGTAAAAAATTGGAAAATAATTTTTTTCCCCCTATTAATTAAGTAGATACTACGGAGTTAGACATGTTTTTGGTTTTGCATGAATGACAGAAATGGGAAGTGCCCTGGCCTCGTTGGTTAACTTTTTAATAAGTCGTATCATATGATGGTTTTAAAATTATACAGCGTGTCGTTACCATCGCGACAATAAATTAACACACGTCTAACGCTACGTGCCAATAATCATAAAAAAATATTAACTTTAAACAAAATCCATAATTAAAAAAAAATATTTTTCAAACAAACTAATTAAGTAAAAAAGAAACAAAATTTGTAACATCCTATACAACCCGCGCCACAGCGTCGTATTACAAGCCTCTCCTTCTAACAGTATGTTTTGTCTCTTTTAAATTCATTCAACCCATTCATATGCTTTGTGACCTTTACAAATGAACTTTACGTTACGCGTTTTATACGCGAGGGTGTTCTAAAATTCTTTGCTTTGGAAAATTTTATAACTCTGTAAATATTGATGTTTAAAGAATTTAAATGTTTAATACAACTTAAAAAAGTTATCCCCTATATGTATGTTCATTTATTGTCGCGACGGTAACGACACGCTGTATATCTTCCCTTCGTGAAGATCTATAGACATGATTGTCTTCGGAAAGGTGATTGATTTTAAAGCGATATTGCCGACACATCGCCCCTGTGAGTGAGTAGCTATTATTTTCGGTTGATAATTTTACATAACGACTACAAAGTATTAAATGTTGTAGGGATTGTTACTACCTACGTTGTATTTAAGTAGTAGTTTCTAAAATAAAATTAGTAAATTCGGTGGTGACTGATAGACAGACGAAGATGTTTACAATTAGCTTTTTGCTATAAGTAAAGTGCAAACATTCTTTTGTAAAATAACTTTTTGAAATAATTTTGCAAAATAACTGTTATTTATACACATTAAAAACGGGCACTTTATTTTAATTTATTTGTATGGATTTGCAGTCACTGAAATGTTTATTTCATTCATGGGTGGACGGATAAATTGCGAAAGTAAAGATGGTGTAGTTTCCCATTACAATTGTCGGCGTGTACTGTTTACGAAATTACGGTAGCAGTGTCGTTATTGCGACTTAAAGGCGTAGATGCATCCTTTCATGCAACTTGTTGGTTGTTGCACAACTGTTGCTTACAGAAAGTACGAAAAAGAAATTTAAACCGGGACAGTTATTCTAAACGCACTCTCGAGGCGGTTACGCGAGCATTGATGGCTCAGTGCGCTGCTAAGTTAATGGGTTTCGCGTCGCTGATCGTTGGTTCAAATTCCACACGGAACTGGGATTGTAATCATACAATGTTTATAACAATAAAGATAATTCCGAATCGGGGGTTATTTCAACGTGTAACTAATGTTAGTCAAGCGTTCGTATAACGCAGGATTATCGTGCAGCTAACCCGTGTTTGAAACCTAAAAAAGGAGGTTGAGCGTAGGCATATTCTGTTTTATTGTCACCTTCGGGAAATGGCAATACCCAAATTCGATTGAGGCGAGGAGAATAAAGGTTAAATCATGATAAGATAAAGGAGGTCTGAGATAACTTTAAAGTACCCGGGATATGACATTAGTATAATATTCCTAATCTACTAAACTGCTTACGGTGTTATATGTTAAATATTTTTTATTTTACTAGCTTTTATCTAATATATAAAATTCTCGTGTCACGGTGTTTGTAATTGAACTCTTCCGAAATGGCTCGGCCGATTTTTGTGAAATTTTGTGTGCATATCGGCCAGGGTGGAGAATCGGAAACATCTATTTTTCATCCTACAAATTCCCTAGAAATAATTTATATGGCAGAACAACGTTTGCCGGGACAGCTAGTAACTTTATATAAACTTACAATTATCATAATTTTACAGACCATAATGTGTAGGTAGTTAACTATAGTTTCATCCAATTCAACTTATAGCATTTAATCCCACAAATCTCCAATGTGGTTCTTTAAGTTGATATAACTTTTTTATTTATGAACCGATTTAAATAAAACTAGCACTAAATGTTAAGTGAAGCTTACTATAATAATACATTAGTGTAAAAGTTGCAGTCAAATCGGTTAAATAGTTTCTGAAATTAGCGCGCACAAAAGCACAGACAAAGACACAAACATTGTTTGGGTTCTATTGCGTTGATAAAGGCCCCCAATAATATTTTTTCTAATATGTCTTCTTTTTATTTTAAGTGCTAATCTCGGCACTTACAAAAACTTTAATTTTTTGTAGACAAATTAACGAAAAATTTTTGCGACAATTTATCTGTGCAAAATTTCTGTGCTCTCATGACTTAATTAACAACTTGCGGTTGTTTTTGAAAGCTGCAAATGTTAGTTGTTGATACAACTAATAGTCTCGAACGAAAATCTGGAAAGATAGTACAATATAAATACTTCGTCTGAATAGTCCTCGCAGTCGAATGATCCGTCGCAAAAGTATGCCGCTGGCAAACAGCGGTTGTCAGAACATCCCAAATGAGTTTCATTGGCGCATTTAGCCTTCTCCAACAGAGGCTTCGGTATCGAAGTTTCTAGAAAAGATAATACTGGTTTTAATCTTTTTTCTGGTTAAGTACCATAGTAAAACGCATAGTCTCTTTTTTTTTAAAACAAGCATTAGAGTAACTAAAGACATACGATAATGTAATTTTTGTAAAACGCAAGTCCTTAGACCCATTGTAGTTGTGTAGATAATATTATTGTTATATTCCGTAAATTTCACGAACAGTGGAGTGATAAGCACAATATAATGGTAGATCTGCCAAAAAATGAATTTCGCAGGTTTCGCTTCACTTTTAACATCACCTTTCAATTTAATATGTATAAAATACCAAAACGAAAATATTGAGGGCTATATTGTCAACGGTCAAAAAAATATTGAGAAAAGGAGTTAACGTATAACTTCAAATTAATTTCTTACATACTATTTATAATGTCCTTTTTCATTTATTACCTGTCGTCATATCACAATTATGTACATTTTGGTGCATGTCGCACAACTGACGATTAACATCGAAGAGCAATCCTGGCGAACATTTGAATTCAAAGACCTCTCCATCAACGCATAGGTAATATTTGGCACACTCCTCTCTGGACCATAAGCCGTCTTCTGGTCTATGCGGGTTCCTTGAAAATTGTTACTTTTTAAATTTTATTCTAAATAAAAAAAAACTACCATACATCTAACTAAGCTAGCATGTTTTATAATAATAATGAGAAAGAAAACATACTAGGACTGTATACTTTATACTCCTAATTTATTATAAGACCGTGTTTACCTACGTCAAAAATTAACGACAAGTCCTTAATAAAATTGAAACAGAAAGTAAAGGCTGGTGGATAAAAACGAATATTACTGTAACTTAACTGAATATAAATATTCGCAAAGAAACTCTCGTTTGCATATATTGGCTGCGATGAAAGCGATGTTGAACCGGAAATAGATTTGATATGGCGCCAATTTTGAATGTTTTTTTTAAATGGATGTATGAAACGGTGAAAGTGAATTTCGCAAGACTGTGTAGGAAATGGTAGTTACGGAAAACATAATGCTCGATAAGACGATCCATCAACGGACGCTTACCGCTTAGCTCAGTCAAGGTTGTGGCGAAAGTAGTGCGGGGTCGTTGCCCTCACATACACTTTTCACAAGAAATATATTTATTTACCATTGCTATCAATGTTGCGTACGTCAATTGCATGTCAATGCTATACAGTTTAGTAAGTGTCAAACCTATATTAAGAAACCTTATGAAATGTTCATTTTAAATATTTGATGTAATAAGTGTTTATAGTTTTACTAATCATTTGTAGAAAAATATATTGAAGTGTAAGTGAAAGCTCGCACCGGATAGTTCATAACTTAATCATAAGATTTAATAGGTGGGAATTAAAATACTCAAAACCATTGTAAAAATCTCGACTTTCAAATTATTTCAGCTGTAATTACGTACTTACTTCTTATTGTTAAATAAAATTAATTTATGGATTTTTACATTTACTTTTGGTTTTAATTCCGGACGTTTAAAACAATTTACGAAGCCTATGGCATTTAGTGTTTGATTATTGGTTTAAAAAAATTATTGATTTCTTCAGGGGAATAATTGATTATTTTTGATAAGTGAAAGTGAAAAACAATTACTTATTAATTTCATTTTAAATACTAAGTTAAATAACATTATATTTATTATTCTAAATTTAATCAAATCTGTTTATTTTTACCCAGAACAAGCTCGTAAATCGCAAAGAATACAATTTTAGCACTATTCCTTCCCTAAAACATAAAACTGTACCTACCTATCTACATGTTATACCAAACTTATTATTTAATGAAAGGATAATAAATAGGTACTTAATTTCTGTCTCAAAAATGGAATATATTTTAATTTACGCTACTTGAGAAGAAGTATCAATTTGAAATAAACTATATTTATTTATTTATGATTAATAACGAACCTGTAAAATCTCCCATTTTCATAACATTTTAAATCAATCAAACTTCGTTTATTCACATATTTTCCTCGCCCACCTGTAATAAATATTATTATTATTTTGTTTACCGAAAATCACGATTACACTTTCATCACACTAGTGGTGCAACTATAATATTATATTGTTACGGTAATAATAAATATCATTTAAAATATTGTTGTTTACACCACCTATAAGTTTACGTTAACACATTTACCTAATATGAACGTAATGTTAAGACATAAAACAACAAGAGTGAGCAACCTAGCCATGTTCTGAGCTCAGTTTCCGCCAATACACTGAGACTTGCTTCTACCATTCATTTATCGTCGGACTCCACTAGTTACTTTCTTTTGTTATCGGAAGTGTTATAATTTACACATACTTCATATTCTACTTTTTAATGTTTAATTTAATGTTCTATTAATAACTAAGACTCGGTGAAAATTAAATTTAATATATTTCTCAGCCGTGAAAATATACAATCGTTAGAACTATAAGTCAGACTGAAAAGATGTAAATATGCTGCAAGAATTTATTCCCTTTTTCTTTATTTAATGTTATCAAAGAATACTTAATTATCAAAGAAGCACCTAAAAAGAACTTGCTTTTCAGTGACGGTGCAAGTAACACAGTGACAGATTTCCAGTCTAGTAAGTACCAGCCACCCCTTTCATAGCGCAACAAAAAACCGGCCAAGTGCGATTCGGACTCGCGCACAAAGGGCTCCGTACTATTATTTATAAAAAAACGGCAAAAAAACATGTCTGTTGTATTTTTTTAACTTATTTTTTAGTATTTGTTGTTATAGTGGCAAGAGAAATACTTACATCATCTGTAAATATATTTCAACTGTCTAACTATCACGGTTCATGAGATACAGCCTGGTGACAGACGGACAGACAGACAGACGGCGGAGTGTTACTAATTATTACCTTTTCTGTACGGAACCTTAAAAACATCCTTCGCAAGGCGAAAGAGTGGAGGCGATCGGACAGGACCTGGTCGTCGACGCTTCGAGCAGATCTTCGTTAAATGCGTTCAAATAGAAGAAGCTGGTATTTTGGAGCCCAGAGGTGAGAACAGTATTCCATGTGCGTCGAATCTGTGCTTTATAGAATGCAAGCAATGGACCGACAGAAAATAGTAAATACTGTCACGCTCTATTAAGGACGCCGAGCTTTATAGAAGCCAGCTCGGCTTTACAACTCTATATGTGTAGCAAGATTATTGTTACAAGATAGGGTGCAGTACGACCTGCCATAACGTGCTAGATCTTTTAGTACATTTAGAAAAGTGAATTTTTGCCACGATTGGCCGCCCCTGCCATCGGGCCATCTTAAGCCCAGGCCTTAGGCTAAATCCGCCACTGAAGTAACATAAATAAGTTACACTTCCAGACACTATGAAGCTTCTTACTCGCAGCTACGCAGCCGACCACGCGGTCGGCTTAGTTTATTTATTTATAATAAGTGTTTAAAAAAAATGTAGTACAGCTTTTGCTATTTTTTCACCAGTATGGCCGTAGCTTATAAGAAAGCAAAAATTTGTTCCTTTCTTCCCACGATGATGCCGTCTGCTCCACTCCATCATTAAGACCCTTGTCAATGAAAGATGTCAATGAATACTGGTCATGATCTAACCTATGATGGTGGTTTAAACTTCATTTTAAATTTTGATCGATAATGGAACGTATCATATTTTTTGACACTTGTTATAAACGTATCCTGTGCATGTACAAAGTAATTTGAAAGGTTTTTTTTGTGATAACATGGGTAACCATGGAAAAAATGTGAAGCATTATCGCGATGAATTGGAAAAATTGTAAATCTCCCTTTAGCCTAGCATTCAGTACTAGCAAAGCATCTACATCAGTTACCACTGATGACGTTGACGACGAAAATCTTGTTGGCGTCTTTTATTGCTGGCAGACGAAGTAATATTTGTTAATTTTATGTAAAGCCAACAAAAAAGCAATTATTGTTTTTTTAGTAGCCCGGAAATAAATAAGTTGATTTAAATTACGGTTTCTTTTCTTAAAGTGACATCTTGGTGTTAGGCTACTTTACCTTCTGAAATTCGGCTACATTAGGACAACAACGGCTGAAAAAATGACGACATTAAGCACTATATTGTTGGCAGCACTGCTTAAAACTCATTAATTTGTCTACACTACACCAGGGATGCCAACTTAGGAGTTTTCTTCCTAAATTGAAGAAGAAAAAATGTACAATGGAAGTTTTCTATGAGGCAAATTTCTTTGGGAATATTTTTAGGAGTTAAATATTATTCACATTTAAAAAAAAACTGCACAAAATACTTATTTTAAATCTATACAGATAAATAAAATTGGAGTGTCTCTTTGTAATATTAAAATAACCGCTTTTTACTAAATGCATATGGATGTATACACGCTATATATACCAAAATATTTACAATTTTTATCTGTCTGTCTGTTTGTTCTGGCTAATCTCTGAAACGGCTGGATCGATTTGGACGGGACTTTCACTGGCAGATAGCTGATGTAATAAGTAGTAACTTAGGTTACTTTTATTTTAGTTTTTTTTTTTATTTAAAATTCCACGCGGATGAAGTCGCGGGCACAGCTAGTAAAAAAAATAATTAATAGTGCTGTGCTGCTTTGGAGAACGTCAGGTCAAGGCCTATGTGTCTTGTCTGTATATTTTAACTTCTTCCACCATAAACTATATTATTGAATGTATTATGTCTTATACAAAATATAAAAATACTAGCTTTTCGCCCGCGGCATCGCTCGCGTTGAAGCCCATAAATAAATATATATCCCCTTTAAGAACCCTTTATAGCCCTTTTTCCAATTAAAAATAGCCTATGTCCTTTCGCAGGCTCTAGACTGGTAGACAGATAGTGTACCTTGTTATATAAAGCTTGCGTAAGGCCAATCATGTCCTACGCATGCATGATCTTCGCACACATAAATCATACGCGCATTGACGAATTGCAAGTAGTTCAAAGTAAGTTTATCCGCCGCGCAACCGGTGCGCAATGGTATCAGCGCAACGTCGACCTGCACAGCGATTGCAGACTCCCGACGATTCGCGCTCATTTTAAAGATTTGACAAAACGGTTCTTCGATAGAGCCCAGCATCATCCCAACCCTCTGGTGGTAAGCGCAGCAAACTACCTACCGGACACTAACGCGAACGTTAACAAGCGTCGCCCGCGCAACGTCCTCATCGACCCGGTCGACGAAGAGGACTTAGACACGATGGACCCACCGCCGGGGGTCCCGCCGGATAACACTACACCCACAGTTAGTGTAACAACAATCACACCAGTTCGCCCTCGCCTCCGAGCACGGCGAGACCCACACAACGCGTACACAAGGTACACCCGCGTTCCGGGGCGGTTCTCACCGCTCCCAGCCACCGATTAGCTAAATGCACAGTCGACGGCCGTCGGGGTCTCGGTCCGAACCGGCGACCTCGACGGCCCTTAGATGACACACCATAGTAGTTAAACGCACGCATGAGCACATGCGCGACCCTACCCATAGCGGAGGGTCCAAACCCGTGGGTTCTGGCTAGCCCACCGGTTCTGCGGTAAAAAAAAATATTATTGTGAACGTGCACAAAACCAAAGTTGCGTTAAAAATATATCGAAATTGATACGAACTCGATAGTCGAAAATATCGACGATATTTATCGATATTTATTTGGAAAAATGCCGATATTTTTATGTATCGATATATTTTGCCCATGCCTACTACAATACGTCATATAGATATTGATCTACATCTACATTCTATATAAAAATACTCTGATTGTTATTGATCAATGTTTTGTTCCGTTATCCTTACCGGTAGAACATAACAGAATTAATAATAATAATTTATTAACATCGGTATTACTTGATGGAAATATTGTAGAACTATAGATTTAAAAAAAAAATGAAAGTTGCAGTTATTATTATTCAATTAGGATTGTTATGTTATTATTGTCTTGCTACTTTATCTCCTCCCTCTGATAAGAAGGGCCAAAAAGGTGTTAAACCACAAGAAGGTGCTAGAAAAAACAATGTATTAGACCGTAAGTTAGTAGTCGAGACGCCTAGTGTTAAAGATATTATCAAATACCATGCTACTTACCACCAGGATGTCTCATTGAGAAACTTCAAAAATCCAGTCTTGGGTTATGTGACACCAGTAAGTTTCATTGACACTGAAAAATTAATTGTATAAAGCTATGTAAAATTGAGATTGTTTTGAATTTAAGTTTGTACAAATTTTCAATTAATTATTTTTATATATTCGAACCGCAAAAAAATTAGTTAAAGTGAGCCCCACAGATGCAGAAGTATAACACTTCTACTTCACGCCAGTCTTCCGTTGTACTTCACGCCAGTCTTCCGTTGTGGAACTTACCCAGACGGACTTGCCTATTCACACAGTAAAATCTGTGTTGTCAAAATATGTTTGTGATCCTACCATAATTAATTTACTAATAGTATACATATTTATCTGATAATTTTTTGTACATAGTGTTGCATGCTTATTCTTCCATTGATCACATAAAAATATATATGCCCTGATTTTCTGATTATTTCATCTTTCTAAATGTACCTGATTTGCTATTCTTTTATTTCTTTTGTAAACTACTTAGCTATTCTCGTTGAATATTTTATTTTTGTTTGGGCATTTCTAGTCATGTAATATTTATAGGTATTAAGTTTAAATGTCTTTTACTATTTTTTCACTTACAAAAATTACAAAATTTCAATTTAAATGCAAGATGATCAAAATAATACAAGTTATATAATTTCTCTTTTAGTGGAACAGCAAAGGGTATGATGTTGCAAAGACTTGGGGCCCTAAGTTCAATTATATCTCCCCTGTATGGTTGCAAATTAAAAGGCAATCTTCACATTCTTATGTTTTGTCAGGTTTGCATGATGTTGATCATGCTTGGGTGAAGTCTGTAAAACAAAGGGGTTCGCAGAGTAATTTGAAAGGTTTGTATACTTTCATTTGTATAACATTATTAATAATACTAGTGGTCGCCCAGAGGTTGAAATTTGACTATAATTAATTATACATGGTAGTGTTTCTAATGTTTTCTTTCATGCATAAATTAAAAAAAAAAATAGCATTCTGCACTCCTTCTCTATATAAACTATCTCAATATAATTTTTTTTAAAAAGAGTTACAAAGATTTTGCTTCACACATATATATATATATATATATATATATATATATATATATATATATATAGATCATAAAAAGGGTATGGTCTGAACAAAACATACTGGAGGAATTGTAAATAGTTTTTTATGGATGTATAAAATTAATGAATGTATTTTTGCATGTTATTATTTTGTATATGACTGGCAAGGAATACTATAAATTTTAATAGTTTTGCAATTTATTTACGAAAGAAATTTTTAGGATGTATTTGACGTAAATATTTGATTGGAATGTTGAAATTGTCGGAAACGGAAAATACCATTTTTCTTTATTTCTAATGATTGCATTTTTGCGTTACCAGCTTGTTACTGGGTGAATATTTGAAATAAAATTGATTTTAAGCAAACTTAATTATTTTATTATTTTTCAATTGCAGTAGTTCCTAGGCTGCTGTTCGAAAAGTGGCAACTATCTGACTTGCTAGCTTTCTTTATTAGCACTACAGCTGATACGGAACACAAAGCATTAATTGAAGAGGTGAAAAAATCTTGTAAACAATGGAATTTTGATGGCATAGTACTTGAGCTATTCTCTCAAGTTGGAAAGGTTGTTGATAAAACAATGAAGTTCATTCAAAAGTTTGGTGTGTATTCTTATTCATTATCATCATATTTTTTTCAACAAATTAGAGGTTGATGAGTTAATAAACATTAAATATTATGTAACATAAATATTTTTTTTAGCCTTAATAATAACTGTAAAGTAATTTTATATTATTTTCATTTATCATAGCAATTATTTACCACTACTATAGGTTATATCCGGCGTAATTAATACTCAGAAATATATTGTGCCTTAGACATTAACACCTTGCCGGTTGAGGAGAGAGAACTCCCCTTAGGGGAAGCAAGGAGAGTTATGTTGGACTCCCGCTTTGAGAAGGGCAGACCTACCAACTAAAACCCATCGGGAGTCCTCCTCTGCCGTCAAATGCTGGATGCAGGGCCCGCTTAAGCGATTCTGCTGCAACCCAGCCACGGCTACCCCGACCCTGCACAGGGCTGGGGCACACCACGAAGGGACTTTTGTCCCCGTCCTCCGCATGAGTGCCCATGACACCAGTGGGCACTTTGCCTTCGCGGGGCCTCATACCGTTAGGTGACAGACGTCCCCACTTCTGTCACCCGGAGGCCCATTAGGGTGGGAGACGGCGCTCGTGTGCCGCCCGCCTTCTCCCCATGCGACGTCGCCGGATCGGGTCGGAAGAAGCATTCTCCTCCCTCTCCCTTTCGGCGGGAGAGAACTCCCCTTGCTCAACTATTCTCAAAAGACAAATAATCCACAACATCAAAATACTTTTTTAAATTGTTATCAATCAAATTCAATATAATTTAAAATACAAAACAGTGTTGAAGATTTTGTAAATTTTTTGAATTTCTAACTGATGGTATTATAATATTATATTGTAGGTTTAGAAATGAACAAAGTTGGTTTAAAGCTGATTTTAGTTTATCCCCCACTATATGGATACAGTAGTGATGATTTTTTCATTGAAGCTTTCAATGACATTCATCCATATGTCGATGCAATTTCAGTGATGACATACGATTACTCCAACCCACAAAACCCAGGTAAATTTTAATTTTTTAACCTTTAAAATTACTATTTTAGTAATTTTTTATGAAAAAACAAGATTATTAATTTTTAATTCAAATTTACTTTTTCTTAAATATATAACTTGATTGAGTTTTTTTATTACTTTTACATAATTATTGAGTACATAACATTAAATTTGTTGGTAATTGATTACAAGAGGGAATATTTAACGGTGGTAGGGCCATGCAACAGTCTTCGCTGTTGCACAAATGGGCAGGTCCATCCCAGTAAATGCCTCATAGAGGAAGTGAAGTGGTTATACTTCTGCATTTCGTCTGGGTAGTGAGGTAGCCGGGGCCCACTTTAATACGTTGTCAACGCATCAGCAACCCTATGAGTGTTGCAAATATCCGTGGGCGGTAGTTGTCACTTACCATCGGATGAACCACCAGCTAGCTTTCCACCTTAGAAACAGCTGAAGCAACAATTAGTAAAGTATCAGCCTATACATGTCCCACTGCGGGCAAAAGCCTCCTCTGTACAGAGAGGCATAGTCCAACACGCGGCCCCACTGCGGATTGGCGGACTTCACATATCTTCGAAATATTTTTTTTTGTTATTATTTCGAAAATATGCAGGTTTCCTCACGATGTTTTCCTTCACCGCAGAGCACGTGATAATTCGGCACTTAAAATTAACAATTTCACTAGGGCACCGGGGATCGAACTCAGGTTGCTCGAGTATATTGAATTAAAGGCGAGCGCCAGGACACTGAGCTATCGCGGCTCTTAAGCAGTAAGTTTTTATAGGTGCGCGTAAGCAACAATTACGAAGTGAAAATAAGGGCCGTTTCGATTTTGAGAAAAAAAAACTAAATCGTGTTATCAGTAACGTCGCCCCCATAAAAATTTACACCTAACGAATCTAACCTGACTACTTAACCTAAAACGGTTCTCAAATAGCTCAAAAACGGGAAGATCAGTGAAGATGGATTGACTTCAGAGTTTTTCCATTCAGGGGAGCCATCCCAAGCACTGTTGAGAAAGCAAAAGGAAAAATGTTAAAAAAATATTATGAGGATACACTTTCACAAAACGATCTCTAGTAGATAGTAGTTATTTAGTTCCGTCATAGCCAATGGGACTACCCCGATGGTGTGGAGTGAGCACGGTGGCTTAATATATGATCATATGTTGTTGTTCATCTTGATCATATCTTGTTCTTCAATAGGTGATCATACCCTCTTGAAGAACTTTAGACCAATCACGCTGCTAAGCCACATCTGTAAGTTATTCTCGAGTCATCAAAAGCCGCAAGATTTGACGCCTTTCTGCCAATGGAGCACTTTAGTACCGTGGTCTACATTCACACAGTGAGGCAGGTTAAACAAATATCGCAAGAGTGTAATCAGCCGCTGTGTCCAGTATTTGTGGACAACGAAAAAGTTTTCGACTCCATTGAAACTTTGGCTGTTGTAGCATACTTGTAACGATGCCCAGTCGACTGGACACATGGAGGTACTGAAAAGCTTATACAGCATGAACATTATATTGAAGTTAGGTGAGTAAACTGTGAACTGGTATAAAGTTAAATATGCTAATACAAATTTGACATGCGCGTTTGCGGGGAAATAATGGCAAAGAAACTTTATTGTACTTGTACAGTGTAAATTCGTATACAGATTCACAGAAATAAGACATTTTTGAAGCGGATAAAAATAAAAAGTTATTCAACATTATATACATAAGAATATTAAATATTTAAAAAAAAATATAAACGGATACATCACTCCACAATTTATTTTTAAGAATCGTATTGGTTTCGATTGAAGTACCGCAACACGTAAATCCTTTTTTTTATAGTAATAATTATATATATATATATATATATATATATATATATATATATATATATATATATATATATATATATATATATATATATATATATATAGTATATAGTAAAAATTATATAAAAATTATTATAGAATTAATATTATTTTCTTTTTCTAGGACTTCACAGGGAGCAAAGAAGATTTTCTTTCCCACCCTCTACTCGATACAGAAGAGATTGAATCTTGCAAGGGAATATGGTATCGGCGTGGCGATATGGGAGCTAGGACAAGGCCTCGATTACTTCTACGATTTACTCTAATTGTTATGTGATAATAATTTTACGCTATTAAATTATTTTCTGTACGTGTGAGAACGCGTCGATAAGATTTGAGCATTGTTATTTATAGAGATATACTGAAGCAAAAAAAAAACCTGACCAGTGATTATTTCTAACTAGGTATAAATGACTATTAATATCGTTAGCGGTGCTGATGTCCACTTTTTACCCGACTGTCGAAGGAGGTTCACCATTGAGGTCATTCGGTTGGGTCTCAGTTGTGTGGAAGTCATATGGGGTATATAGTTTCAATCCGGTGTTAAAGACAAAAAAAAAATTTAATAATTTTTATGAATTGTGATCCTGTTTCGGTATGTCATGAGTGCATTGATATTCCATTACACTCAGCATCAGATTCCAAAGAGATTACGGTTAGCAGGATTGTTACCAAAACAAGAAAGCTGTGCTGTTATCTTTTGACCTTTTTGCAAATTAATAATTAAACAATAACGGCATAGACAAAGGTTCGATTTAAATGATATTTAATACGGTAAAATTTTTGAAAAAAGAGTAATCTGGAAGTAATTACAAAAATCTTGCATATTTGATCCATCATATTTTTATCATAATCGCGAGAGCTTAAAAAAAAAAAGTAAAACTTGTTAAAATATATTTTAATCCCACAGACATCATATGTTACAAAACATGAAAACACCATTCAGTCTTTAAAAATGTCCGCATAATGCGCTCGGCAACGTAGTACTTTGGCCTACGTAAACAAATATCATACGTATAGTACATTCTGAGTCAAGCAACTTGAGGAAAAAGGTTGAGAATCACTGCACTAGAGCATCGAAACTGAGGCACTAAAATTACAATTGGTGTAATTATTATAGACTATCTCTTTCCGTATCGTACGTTCTATATCATCTCGTTCACTTATATATGTCATATAACGTAAAGCGGAACAATTTTTAAACGCCACGCAGTATGGACATGCGGTGCGTCATTTTAATTAAAACATCATTAGTAATACCTACCCGTAAAATTCTAATAGACATAGTGTGTTCAGGTAGTCTAGTCGCAAGTTAAGCAAGCTATGGATAGCTGGTTACCGATAAACATACTTTTTTTTGTACTTAAATATTTTTCCAGTAGTAGGTTTCGAACCCACGCCCTCTGGCGTAACAGATCAATCGGGTCGTCAAATATTGAGAAACAGTTTACTCACCACTTCAGCGGTAGAAGATATCTAACGGATCCCGGCATAATGCAGTTCACCTCGTTCTTTCTGATGGAGTCTATCATGGTCTCCGCCACGTAGTCCGGCTCCAACATGGGCATGAGACGTGGAGTGACGCCGTCGAACATGCCCGTATTGATGTAGTAAGGGCATACAAGGGTCGCGTGGATCGTATTGTGGCCGTGCGCCTATGAATGTTATAAAGATTAAATTAGAAAGATCAAATAGATACATAGCCGTGATAGCTCAGTGTCCGGGCGCTCGCCTTTAATCCAATAAACTCGAGCAACCTGAGTTCGATCCCCGGTGCTAATGAAATTGCTACTTTTAAGTGCTGACTTTATCACGTTCTCAACGGTGAAGGAAAACATCGTGAGGAAACCTGCATATTTTCGAAATACAAAAAATATTTCGAAGATATGTGAAGTTCGCCAATCCGCAGTGGGGCAGCGTGGTGGACTATGCCCTGATACCCTCTGTAAAAAAGAGGAGGCCTTTGCCCAGCAGTGGGATATGTATAGGCCCTTTCAATTACAAAAGAATACTTCTAAACGTGATCAAATAAAGCTAATTTACGAATTTTTATGGATTCACTACATAGTATAAAACAAATTCGTCCTGCTTCTGTCTGTCCCTGTGTGCTTAGATCATTGAAACTGTACATCCTTTACGAGATAGAGTGATTGCCACCTCTTCCACTAGGAGAAATGATTGCCAAATACTCACCCTGAGCTCGGTAAACAGGCTCTCGTGGAAGCCGACGGTGGCGAACTTGGTAGCGCTGTAGTCGGTGCATCGGTAAGTGCCCAGCAGTCCGGCCACCGAGCCCACCGTCACTATGTGTCCCTTGCCCGTCCTGATCATGTCGGGCAAGAACGATTTCACTGTCTGGAAAGTAGATAAGGAGTCGTTGAAGTGAGTATTATTCATGCTGAACCCTCAGCACTGACTCGAATGCTAAGTCAGTTACGTTAGTAGATTCATTCATTATTTTCAGCCGACTTCGAAAGATAAGTTCTCAATTCGGTTGTATTTTTAATTTTGTTACCGAACTTTAATAAATTGATTTCGCATTCGATTAGTTTCCTAATAGTCTCGTTGATGTTGACCTTAGGTTCTGGATATACAGCGTGTCGTTACCATCGCCACAATAAATGAACACACGTCTAACGCTACTTGCTAATAATCATAAAAAAATAATAACATTAAACAAAATCCATAATTAAAAAAAAATATTTTTCAACAACAAACAACGAACAAAATTTGTAACATCCTATACGACTTGCGCCACAGCGTCGCATTACAAAGCCTCTCCTTCTAACAGTATGTTTTGTCTCTTTTAAATTCATTCAACCCATTCATATGCTTTGTGACCTTTACAAATGAACTTTACGTTACAGTTTATACGTAAGGGTGTTCTAAAATTGTTTGTTTTGGAAAATTTAATAACTCGGTAAATATTGATGTTCACGCTCTACAGCCTGAACGGTTCGATTGATTTTAGCTTGAGAGGTGTCGTTAGATTCGTATTTAGTGTGAGATTGAAACTGGGTATATCATAATAGAAAATGACACAGAAACGCAGTGGTTTTTTTTAGTTTTTTTAAATTATATTCTACTTGTCGACATTTAAATTCACAAAGTATCTTTTATTAATGGTTAAGGACAACGGACTGTTACGGATCATCGGATTTTGATTTTATGTTGTTAATATCTGGTCAACAGAAGCTATCTGTAAATCTATAAAATGTAACTTCTTATCTATGTTGAATAAAATATATATATTATATAAAACTGAAACATATTATATGTAAGGGCATTTAGTTTTATAAATTATATAAAATTTCATCAGGCTTGTATGTACTAAGAATTATATAATTTAAAATGTAACAGTCAATCAGTAATGACAACTACATACCCAATAATGCGAAAGGATGTTGACTTTGTACGTAGTTTCTATTGCATTATCACTCAGTTCCAACAAAGTTTCACCAAAGACAGTCCCAGCGTTATTTATCAGCACGTCCACCTTGCCTACCTGTGAAAGGAAAAGAGTTTGTTATTGCTCGTTACGGAACAAAACACGTGTCTTTCGATATTCGCTACGAGATAGATATGACATTAGCGCACCGAAGTTGAAGCACTCAAATTACATCAATTGGTGTAATTAAATTGCAACTTTATACTTCTATCTCTTTCCGCATCATTCGATCTATATCATATGCTACCTTCATATGTCATATAATGTAAAGTGGAACAATTTTTAAACGCCGCACATTATGGACATGCGTCACCTGGCCGTAAAATTCTAATAGACATGTATAGTGTATTCAGGTTTCTTTACTACGTTTTACGTCACCGCTCGTGGTAGTAATACCAGCAATTATTAATTGCTGGTATTACTTAATAGGTAATTTACGGATACGGTGGTAGGGCTACGCAGCAGCCTCGGCTGTTGCACGAATGGGCAGGCTCGTCCGGGTAAGTACCACGACCTAACAGAAGAGCGGCGTAAAGTTGAAGTATAACAAATACTTTCACGTTTCGTCTGGTGAATGAGGTAGCCGGAGCCCAATTTTCAAAAGGTTGTCAACGCATTTGTAACCCTCGAGTGTAGCAGATGTCCATGGGCGGCGGTATTCACTTAACGTCAGGTGCAATTGCAATTTTGCTGATACTGAGAGTGATATTGGAATTTGTGTTGCTTCGGTTGTTACAATATAGTCGAATAACGCGATCAAATCTTGAGTGTCACTCATTTATATAGAAAAGTGAATTTAAAATTTTAAAGCTAGCGCTGTTTTTTTTCTGCGAAAAGCTGTTAAACGAGCAGGCGGTTCTCTAATGCTAATCGCCGCTCAATGGACATCTCCAACACATTGGGACTTGAGTTGATAACGCGTGTGTGTGTGTAGGTACTTAGGTACGCACGTAAGAAGTCAACATAAGGAAAGAAAACAAATAAAAATATATCACGTGTTAGAGTACCGGTACTCTTTGTTTGTGAAAAAAAAGACATTATATGCATCGATAGTTGTCATTTAATTAAATAACTTGGAACTATAGGTAAATGTCAAGAAGTTGTTATTGGTTGCCAAGGTAACAACAAAAATTTTGTCCAAGACACTTTTTCCGCTGGTCTTCTGTAATCTTTAAAAAACCCTCTTGCAACAGTAAAAGATGACGCGTGGCCCACTACAACTAGAAAATAAATCAATCATTTGCAAATACTACTACTGTAAAAACTAGACAATTTTTTGAGACCTCGTATACGTATACATACATACATAAAGTATTTAACTAATTAAAATTAATTTAGTAATAAATATCATTGCAGAATTATTGGCCATTTTATGATGTTCTAAAAATTAGTTCGATACTGTTATGACTTTCGCGCCTTCAGTTTACCTTCAGGATTCGTGATTTATCGATGTTAATTGTTAACGCCCAAACGGTTTACGTAATTTGTGGTAAGTACATGTAATCGCATATGTTTCCTCGAATAATAATTAATTACTCGACAACGTTCTATTATCTTATTAATGAACATTTAGTCGTTGGCATACGTGCAGTTGAATTTTTGTTCTTTCCGTTACAAGTTAATATAAAAAGTAAAACTTTCTAATTTTTATATTGGACCTATATACTAACCTCTTTCTTAACTTTCTCAGCAGTCGCGTAGACAGAGGCGCGATCTGCCAGATCCACTATATAACTTGCCACTTCATAACCTTCGTCCTTTATGTTACTGCAAGTTTTCTGTAAAGCTGACAAAATTGCCATTCATTATGCCGTCGAATCAGAATTTCATATATTAAAATCAAAAACAAAAGATGCTTAAGACTTTTATCCCTGACGGAAAAGACATGCAAACTAGTATTATCTACTACTCGGAATTTATTTCGTTCAAAACATGACAGGTTGGTGATGGTCGCCGTACACCGAGAAAGACGAAGCAGTAAATTGATCCTAAAAACTAAAAAGGAGATCCTAAAAACGTAATACTCATTGATACACGGATAGCAACTCTACACCCTTAAACTCCAAGTGCAAAGTCAAATCTAGCAGAAAATGGAGTATAGAATTGACCAAACTCGGGGCCACATTCACACTGCATAAATTCAATGAAATTTAATCTATAGTTTAACCATTTTTCAATTAATAGCCTATTACGGCTAATAATTACATCCGTTTAGTGCGTTTTCTAAGTGAAAAATTGCTAAAGCGTTTCATTAGCTTATTATATTGTATTTTTACGACTCAAAACTGAAGTGTGATTGGTGTTTCCGTAACATTTATAATTCTGCAGTTAGTATTTTTACCAACTACAAAAAAATATTCGTGTGCGCCACGTTTACTGTATAAGATAAAACTTGTTTTCTTTTTTTTTAATATCTGTTGTTTCTTCTTTCTTGCGATATTAATTCTCCCGTTGAGTTTCTTTCGCCGGTTCTTCTTAGGTCTGTGGCTCTTATTTTCCGAACGACAATAGGGTTTATGACAACAAATAAGTAAGTGTATAAATATACTTTCAATTTGACTTTGAAGCGCATAAGCATTCACCGAAACAGCTGAATCGATTTTAATAAGACTGGCAGAAATAAGAGACTTGCATGGTATAAGTAACTTAGACTTTTTATTTTAGAAAAACAAATAGCGTTCCTTAGTTTATTAGAACCTAGGAAACGTTGAAGAAAATCCGATTTAATAGCTAGTTTTACTGGAAATGTTTCTGTTTATGAGAAATGAAAAAGGAAATCTGAGGTGGGTTTCCTTCGTTATCGAAAATCAATTAGGGCCCGCCTAAAAACAAAATAGGCCCATTTTCTTCTTTAGAGTTTTAACTTATAAAATAATATATTATCTTTAAACTAATGAAATCAGCTGATTGAGAATAAATCGCTTATTGTTGTTTACGGTTACTCAATGTAGGTAAACCGTGTGTACGCTACTAATATGTATGTGTAAATAACTTATTGTGAACTCTGCGAACTGACCGAGCATGTATAGTTAAATAACGAGCGAGAGTAAGCGAGGCCAAAATAATAGAAAACTCAATTACTTCTGTATTAACTTACCGTCCTCGTTGATATCCCACACGACGACGTTGGCACCGAGACGCGCTAGTTTCATAGCAAGATGGCGGCCGACCCCGCCGCCGCCGCCCGTAACCAGGACAACATCTCCTTTGACGCTCTTCAAAGGCCTGATAGCATTAGGCACTAAGGTCCAGAAGAGCGACTCGAGGATGTAGTAACAGGACAATAGGAGGAACAGCACTGTGTCCTTTGCGATATCAAATATGCTCGCCATTTGTGAAGGTGTGTGAATCTTCGTGCCTTCCAACATGATGGTTTTCTGTAATAAGTGTGGTTTTTCTTGTTTGATTATGTCGTAATAATAAGCTCTCTATAATAAACGTGGCTCAATCTTCTTTGGATAAGATTAAACGTGGGAAAATGTAATTTTAAAAAATGGTCAATGCGTATTTAATATCAAGCAAAAAAGATAATCAATAAATATTAGATTTTGAACCACTGAAATTATAATATTCGACGGCATTATTCAGAGATATAAACACGCACACTTGAAGTTTATGATGTAAAGGAGCCCTTTCGCAAAGTTAAGGACGCCCAGTTATCCAAATTGGTCTAATATTGCTACAGTGTTGTTTACTCGGTCACATAAAGTACACATAAACACGAATCACAATTTATGTGCGCGCGTATAAACTGCACATTTTGATGGTAACGTATGTACATAAATGTAAAAACGTATTTAACAACCTACGCATTCACCTAAGACCAAAGTTGATAAACATGTAAATACTATTTTAAATTGTAAAAGCCATTACGAAAACCTTGATTCGTATCTACTTATGTCAGGATTATTAGGGTTCCGTGCCTTAAAAGGTAAAAAAAGAACCCTTATAAGATCACTCTCTTGTCCGTGTGTCACCATCGATTTTATCAGGAACCGGTGGACCTAGCAAGGTGAAATTTATATTTAGTCTTTTTACCACAATTGACAATTCTAGGTCAACCGGAAGTACCTACCCTATAAATTTTGTGTCGAGGAAAAAATTTTACGCCAATAGTGATAGATAGATAGTCCTGTGAGTTGTATAGGTAGTGGCAATGGCAATGGCCCTCATACAATTACAATTACATACTAGATAATGGTACGAAACCCTTCGTGCGAGAGTCCGACTCGCACTTGGCCGGTTTTATTAACCTTAATCGTTAAACCATTCGCTGTTTGTTTGTTTAAATTAATAACTCTTCCTTTACGTAACTTACTACATGGACCGTTCAGATTACTTCCGAAACAAAATTGAAGAAAGAATTCCTCAAGGAAGATAAATATAGCTAACTTTAACAAGAGCTTAACACAAGGCTTTGAAAAAAAAATCACTGTGAGGGTTTTATGCACTTGGTTTTACTAACTTTATGTTTGCCTTCATCCTAAGAGTGTGAAAGCGAATGCTATCTAGTACTGGCCACGTTTCAACTTTTAATGCAGGGATAAAATGATCTATCGTCAATTGCAATAGTACGACTAGTTACGAATTCCATACCCTCACTGGATGTACTTTGTGTCCGTACATGACGTCTGTGAAACGTCTCAGTCAGGTTTTTGAAGTTTTACTTCTTTTGGTGCGCTTGGAAAACATGTGAGAGTAAAAATTTTACGATGCGCGCACACACCGACCCTCAAAAAGGGACCACAAGGCGAAGCAACCAACACGGCATTACCATGGCAACCAATAACAACTTTTTGATATTTGCCAATAATTTCAAGTTACAAAAGATAGTTATACAGCGTGTCTTTACAATCGCGACAATAAATGTACACACATATAGGAGATAACTTTTTAAAATCGTATGAAACATTTACATTCTTTAAACATCAATATTTACAGAGTTATTAAAATTTCCAAAACAAAGAATTTTAGATCACCCTTGCGTATAAAACTGTAACATAAAGTTCATTTTTAAAGGTCACATAGCATATGAATGGGTTGAATGAATTTCAAAAAGACAAAACATACTGTTAGAAGGAGAGGCTTGTAATGCGACGCTGTGGCGCGAGTTGTATAGGTGTTACAAATTTTGTTTCTTTTTTACTTAATTAGTTTGTTTGAAAAATATTTTTTTTTTTTAATTATGGATTTTGTTTAACGTTAATATTTTTTATGATTATTGGCAAGTAGCGTTAGACGTGTGTTCATTTATTGTCGCGATGGTAACGACACGCTGTATATATTTATTTATATATGTAATCTGCCTAAATTAAGTAACAAAGTATATGTGTATTTGTATGTATATATTTTGTTAGCCTTTTGTATATACATTTATTTATTTACTTACATATTTATAAATATCTTATTATTATGAATTATGATTGTAGATAAGTATTTTTCTTTTTCATTCATTTAGTTAACCCACACCTTTATTCCTAAATTATTTCTTTTTCAATCCATCCAAAGGTTGCCTGGAAGAAATTACTCTTAGTAATAAGGCCGCCCATTGTACCCATTACTTCTACATTAAGTTCTAATTTTTGTTTGTTTTATTTTTGGTGTGCAATAAAGTATATTCATTCATTCATTCATTCATTCAAAGTTAAGAGAATTATTTTGTACTCAGATCGATATACTTGGGTTGGCACCAACTCCACAAATTGTTAAATTTTGTTAGAAGTTATGTAGATTAGGTTAGACTTAAAAATTGGATTATATTGGATTAAGTATTATGTTAAATTTTTTAGTGCTAATAGAGTTTTTAGTCGGTTTTTTGTAAGTTTTTTTATTTTATTTTAAATAAGTGCAGAAACATAGTCGTGCTATACGACGATTCAGCCGTCGGTATTTTTTTTTTGGCTGTATGAACCACTGTTGGCTAAGGCCATTCGCCTTCACAGTACCGACGGGCTTGAGGTGGCCTGGCGCACGAGGCGCCTAGCCTGAACCTCGGCGTATTAATTACGCGATATGGTGACTAAGCTCGAGGGCTCCCGAGAGAGCCTCGGCTCGGGCGGTCATCCTATTATTAACACCGGTTTGGGAGGCCGCCAAGCTCTTAAGGCGCTTTGGCGGGCGCTCCATGGAGTGACCAGGCTCAAGGGTCTCTGAGAGGGGACCTCGGCTTGCGCTGTCACTCAACACGCGTTTAGCATTCCGATTCGAGGGTGCCCGAGAGGGCCGGACCTCGGCTCGATCAGTAGCTATTATCTGACTGGGCAGGCGCCGGTAGCTGAGACCTGCCTCTTCATGGTAGACAGATTTTTACGTAGCTTAAATCATGAGTTGTCGGTTTTTCAGATGTGCGAAAAGCATTTGTTGTCCTGTCGATTGTCAGAACAATAGGTTAGCCGCCATTTTAAATTTGAGGCCTAACAGGTTTCTTTATGTGAAAATTTGCTAAGCGAGCAGGCAGTTAACGCGATGTTAAGTGATTTTCACCTCCCATGGACACCTACAGCACCTTAGGGCTTGCGGATGGGTTGACAACCTTTAAAAAGTGGGCTTTTTCTCACTCACCAGACGAAACACGAAAGTATAATATTTCTACTTCACATGATGATCTTATGTGAGGCCGTGGTACTCAGTTCAAAAGCGCATCTTTGAAATCAACTATCTTTCCCTTTAAATTTATCTCAATAACGTAAATCTTGCTCACGTGCATGCATAAACCAATATTTTGTTTTATTATTAAGGAAAGAACATTTTGTAATTTTTGTCCATGAACAAAAAAGGAAATTTACAATTCGGTGCAAAAAGCCCTTTTTAAGACAAGTTTACTTCTGTTATAACATGAAATAAAATCCTATGATATAGACCCGATTGGTATAATGTATAGTGAACCATTAACTTGATCCGGAGGGTGTAGTTTCGATCCCACTCTCCGGTCTATATCTATACTTATTTATAATATTATAAAGAGGATGGATTCGGCTTTTTGTATCTTTTGTAACGAATAAATTCGAAAACTATTGACTGATTTCTAACATTAATTCACCAATAGAATGCAACATTATCCTTGAGTAATCACATAGTCTAGGGCAAAAATTAGGGATCTCTACTAAACGTCAATAATGTAACCCACGGTGAAATATTTATATGATGGAATGAATTTAAATACTAGAAATAAGGACAAATTATTTACGCCATTGTTACGTCTACAAAAAGTAAATAGATCGTGATAGATAGAAAGTGAACTTATGGCTAAGGCATATTATACCATTATACCGGTTCTCCGATGAAGCTTTAATAGTCTCGGGACTGAAAGCAAAAACATCAGTTAATACAAGATACAAGACCATTGCGGAATATCTTGGTGACACCAATGTGTGGGGTTGATACTATTGATACTCACGTAGACTAAAATAAGACATACTTGTTCTATTATATTGTAAATTAATCGTTTTATAAAAGAGCAACTGTTGAGTTTCTTGCCGGTTTCTTCTCAACAGAAACTGCTTTCCGAACCGGTGGTAACTTACGAACGTATTAATTTTTATGTTAAATTTTGATAACATAATATAACATGACATGACATTTCATAAGAACGCGCAAGCGTCTATATGAATAAATATATTTTTGATTTGATTTGATTATGAATTCAAAAGCTTGAAAAGTAAAACCAAAGGAAAACTTTTGACTTGCTAATTAAACCAAACATGTATGATATGGGCGATAAACATTTATAAAATGAAAATGCAAAACTTAAAATTTTGACCTTTATTACTATTCTTTAACCTCGTTTATTGATACTAAATTCTGCGATAACGCGAGAGTCAATATGTTTTAGCGTTCATATTAGAAAGCAGTTGTAAAGAAAGCGGTCTCGAATCGTCATACTTCAGACATGGTAAATGTTTATTTAATTGTTTTGTTATTATTTTTTTGATTCTGAAATTACAGTTAATAAAAATTTTATTACATGCCACTTCAAAACACTACTACCGTCGTTTAATAAACAGCAGTAATGTCAGATTATATCTTCACGGTGCAATAACTTCATACCGACGAGTATGAACACTTTGACGCTTGTGCCCAACAAAGTTTCTAAGTCTATGTTCAGTTAAATACTTTTGTTGCTTTCTAAAATATATACTATGCTTTGACCTTGTGCTTTAGTCGTAATAGTCGTAAAATGCGGGGCTCGATTTGAAAGGAATTACTAAGATTCTACTCACAAGGTATTCGTTTTACAAAGTTTATATTGCATTTTCTGTGGCGCTGTCGCCGACGGTATCATAGTTAATAGCATGTTGTGGAAAGGTGCGTTAATAAATATTTTTTGGTTCAATCTGAAAGTTAGTTAACTTTATATATACGAATGCAATTTGACTTTCTTTCGAAATGTGGTCCGTAGGTTGATTGGAATATTTTTTTGTTTCTATTGCAAGATAAACCCCTTAACATTAAATACATTTCATTTGGGATCTTGAAGATACCAAGAGTCCACTTTTTAGAATAGTCTTTTTTACGAATTTCTTTGTAGAATCCATCACGGGTCACGGGACAGATTGTGATTTTTTACTTCCAAATGTAATGGATAGTCCCGGCTACCGTTATATTTTGACCATTCGTAATAAATAAATGGAGTTTACGAAAAAATACGTTTATTACGTTTTCTAGGCTCTGCGATCTAGTTACAACATGAACAAGCGGTGGCTGATTTTAGTGCATTCTCTGAAGCTTCTAGTTTGTTTCATTAAAATTATTTAAGCCGGAAGATAAATTAATAAATTGAGTCTCATTTACTCTTAAGGACTTGGTTCTCGTAAAAAGTGTTTTAGAATTAATAAATTGAATTTTTTTTGTTGTTCTGCATAGTTAATCTAATGGAATTATACAGTCTATATTGGAAACTAAAACGATATATATTTAACCTGATACATGAGAAAAAATGGAACCAAATTGTAGAGTAACTCAGTACAATGTTACCAAGTATAACAAATATGTTGTAATTTACTTTTTCAAATAATTGGATTTTATTTTTATCCCTAGTGTTAAAATTCCACCATTAATTCGTAAAAACCGATGAAGCTACTACAGCCAATTAAATTGCAGACTGTCATTATAATCCGAACAAAAACTAATTCAATTACACATTTTCCATTTGATTTAATGATTTCTGATGTATTTCCGGAGTCAAAGTTTATATTTTAATAAAATCAATATGGGACCACATGTGTGCTAAACCGAAGCCAATGCAGAAATGATTTTTTAAAATCTCTACGTAAATGACGGAGCTCTGGGGTAACAAACATAAAAACAACATCCAATGAATATTACACCTCCTCCTTTTTTGTGGTCGGTTGATAATTACGATAGAACACGCACAACAAACAACTATTGCACTTACTGCTGTCTCCTTTATATTCCACAGTGTCCTTGCGTCTTTACGCGGTCGCTAGTTTCTGAACTCGTATTTCCCGCGGCCGAATGTTGCAGCCCGCTCGCCGGTCGAACAGCTACTGCGGCGAGGCCCACTGCTCCACTCTCAGCGCTTTCTCCGCTAACGGTATCAACCGCTTTTCGCGTGCCCACGTCTGTCAGAACAACGTTTTGTTCGCACTCAAGACGGGCGATAACCGGCCAATGTACGTGTTCGATTTGTTCTCAACGCAATGTGCAAGTAGTGCTTTAGGATGCGTTACTTCCCATCCGTTACCCAAATCCACGTCCAATGATCGAATACATTAGTCTTAAACATAAGCTCACTGCAGCTGAGCTCGACCGTAAAGGATGCTGAATGTGTGCTGGCAACATTTTCTTGAAAATGGCGTTGAAATCTGCTATTTGGTTACTAACACAGATAACCCTTTATAAGCTTAGTATCCCATATTCCCTCGCTATTTGCAGTGTATACCTAGTGATATACATTGTACCACAATCCATCAATATGGAGATGATGTATAGGTAATATGAAACAATCGTATGAAATGTGCTGAATGTGAAGTTTGTAGAAGTAACAGTGACAAACGAATTCAGGGTTTATCTTATGTTAAGTAATCATTAAGTGATTATAACAATGATAACATCAGATAAACCGTTTAATCAGCAGTGATCATAAAAATTTATTACATCCCAAATTCAAGCGGTTGATCCCTGGTTATCTCACTTACCAGTCGATAAACCTCCTGCCCTGCACAAAAAGTGAGTCATGCTGCAATGTGTTGTGTTGTTTATGACAGGCAGAGATCCGGAACAACTATCTGTGGGGTACGACTCGTAGCGCCGAAACCAAATGCTGATTGCTCCACTTGGACGATATGCGTAAGTATTACAACTTTAGCCAGCCACCTGTCACGGTACTTCCCCAGACAAGTCGGCCCATTCGCGTACCCAACTGCGCAAGCCAAGGGCTTTACACCTGTAAAAAGTGACGTAGGTAAACAGTCTTCGCTTGACCTAGGTAAACACAAGTTTAACAATCTTAAGTTTCTTTGATTTTTACTCTATATTTTGTTTATTTCGCCACTCCGGGTAGGATTTAGAGGTCTGGAGACCTCGAGGCAACAAAAGAGTGGAGGCCCCATGACCCCAAATTGATTTTGCAAAGATAAAACGCGAAAAAAAATATGAAAGGAAAAGTTGTTTTCTAGTGTTTACTAGTCAGAATTTAAATTTTTTTCCGAAGTCTCTATTGTGGGGAGAGGCCCCCTCTTTTGTGGAGTCGCCGGGGCTGTAGCCCCGGTTGCCCTCCCGTAAATCCGGCCCTGTCGCCACTATCAACCTGTACATCACACTACAGAATTACAGATTGATAGTGGCAAATAATCAATAGGTCAATAGGTCATGGTGATTGTAGGACGTTAGCAATCAATTTTATACGGATATCAGATACGGATATGCGTATCTTTAAATTTTGTTTTGCATTTTTTAGGGATCAACTTACGCTAGCAACTTTAAATTAAAAAGGATTTTTGATGGTTTCGTAAATGTAAACAAGCACGTTAGCATACGAAAGATCATTTAGGAGTCAAAAACAGGCAATATGTTTTTATTTCTTCCTATAAAGTGATGACCATTAACAATGGAATTGAAGCTATACTTCGACAAATCGAATTTCATTGGATAACAAGTTTTATAAACGATTTTTAATGTCTTTGGCAATCTGTTGCATTTAAGTAACAATTGTGGCGGCCTTTATTAGGTACGTTCCAAGATATAGTTGCGGTGGACCGCACATCAAGAGTAGGTATAACTTACGTATCAATTGCTCAACTACACTTTTCTGTAAAGATATCTGAATATTTTACACATTGAACTATAATCTGTACTTGATATGGTCAGTGATTCATTTTAATGTTTCCTCATTGGAATATGAACTTATAACCTTCCCGTCGTCAACCAAAAGTATTTTTTTATTTTGCCTAACTTCCTGCGGGTTATGGAGTATTCTACGTAACCCTTTTAGGGGGGATGGGTGGGTTCATTAAAATACCACGCTTGGTCATAGGGACGCGGGGCGTCGATTTTCGTCACGTAGTCAATATCTTCCAAGGTAATCTCATGCTTTTTCGAGCTATATTCAAATGCAAATATGGAGAGCAGTGTTTAGTGTTGTTGCAACACTGACGTACATATGGGATGATGTCACAAAACCCTTTCCCAGATGAAGTCCGATCTTTAGTATTGGCATCGCTGGAGAAGTGGCAATTAGCACTTGGACTTAGACCAAGAATGCCATAGTAGCGCCGGGGTCGCAGATGATTGCCCCTTCGTGTTCCCGTGTCCCCGGCGATGCGATAGTGCAGGTTCAAAATGGGTTTTTAGTGGGTAACCGTTCTGTCCGGGACTCTCCTCCCCCGATCCGGTATCCCTGCGATATAGGATTTTTCCACCCTTAAAAAAAAGGGGGGAATCTTGGCTTACCTACAGGAGGTAGTACCTCTAACGTTAGGGAGAGTCGGGTCCGCTCTAACCGGGTTCCCGCCTTGACGTAGCGGAGGGTCTTAGTAGCCGTGGCTTGATTACCCACGGCCAAGCTAAGGAACCCACACTGGGACTGTCTTCTGCTACCGTGAAGGAATCGCGGGGGAAGAGGAGTGCCTGTATTGCGTTTGGCCGCTTGCCCTATCCTCCGCGACCCGGCGGGGCTCCACTGCTTATGAAGTGGTGGTAAGGCTGCGAGGGGAGAGGAGTGTCGGTATTGCGATGCGTTCTCCCTACCCTCCGTGGCCGAAACGTGGTGAGCGGCTGAGCCACAGACCAGGTCCGCCGCGGGCGTGGGAGACTTGCTGCTTATTAGCACTGGCTCTTCTGGCTCCCATGGCCCTGGTCAGCGAACTCGGGGAATTCGTTGGCTGTGAAAAAGGGGCCGAGTAGGAAGGTGCACTGAATGTTCCAGCACGCCTTACCCGGAGGAGAGAGGAGTTGCTTCCCAGGCAGGAGGCTGCTGAGGCGGCCAGCGCTGGCAGAGTCGCCAAAGTGGGCGAAAGCGTTCCCGGGGCCCTGCCGATATGTGCTTAGGTGGAAAACCATGGGACCTTTAGTCGGTGCGAGTTCGACATAAAAAAGGGTGAGGTGGGTACATGGTAGTAAATGGATTACGCAGTATGGGTATAAATAATCAGGAATATTAGTTATCTACAGGTCGGTTATAGACATTCATCTATAAAACGCATTCAACATTTAAAAATACTGTAATAACGATTAAATAACATATGCGCAGTTTGTTAGTGATTAGTGCATAATTATGCTGAATGTCTTTGAAAATGTTTTATGTTTTATACGTATATCGAATCGCATTATACTTTTGGTACAAGTGATACGATCGTGCTCAGAAATTCGATACGCAATAAATTTATACGTAGGAACCAATGCTTAGAGCTCATCGATTATATTGAGGCTTTTTAAAATTGTCTTCACCACTTACAGCCAATATGCAAACATAATGGAATTTTTCACGTTTACCTTATAATGTCCTATATGTTTTTTATAAATGTTTTTGATTATTTAAATATTATTTAAATATTATATTTAAATAAACTGCCTGTAAATTATCCCGCACTAACGCCCGGTTTCTAAAACACTGATCATCGTAGAAATGACAACTAATCCGCTGTCATATGGCTTCTCAAATGTCATTTTAGTTGCCAAAAGGATCCAATCGTAAGTTCACCGGGTTCTACTCTTTAATCATTATTATTATTCTTTAATCACTGTTTATTTTATTTTTATTATTGACTAATTTTGCTATGCTTAGAAGGATCCAGCATATTTTATACAAACAATGCATAAATATTTTTAAAAATATAAATTTATAAAAGCTATATTTATTTTTCTTTAATTTTCATTAGGTACACCAACAGAATCATATATATATATTAAATAGTGACATTTTTGAGGTACTGGATTCATGTACTATTCTGATATAAAATGTATATATCAGTTACAGGTAAACAGAACGTCGATAGTAAGTAAAACACCATAAGTAACATGTTTACTATATCAACGCTCGAATTTTGAAACACTGATCATCGTAGATGTTAACTAATCAGCATTCCGATCATTAAGAGATCATTCGGATCAATTCAGAGACTTTAGCCATCCTTTTGGCAACTTAAATTACATTTGAAAATCGATTTACAATAATCAGTGTTTCAGAAATCTAAGACTTGTACCGTGTACGACAGTAGCTTCTGATGATGCAGGAAAGGGTAGGGTAGTTCGGGGAAGAGCTTTTGCCTTTCCCCTGGTGAGTGAGGTAACCGGTGCCCATTTGTTAAAAAGATTTACAATGCCTCAATAGCCTCACAGTTATTGTAGACGTTCATGAGCGGCAATAATCACTTAATATCAGGCTTGCTTGTTTCCCCACTTTTTTATACTTATAAAGAAAACATTAAATCCGAAAGTTAACGCTAACGCAAAAATTAAGTGAATAGGCTTTAATGAGCTAGCTCGCTTACCAGCAACGGCTGCATCACCCGCTGGACCGGATCTAATAAAAAATATTTATAATGTCTAGTTAATTATATATAACAACTACCTGTACCGGCAAACGTTGTTTTGCCATATAAATTATTTGTAGGTTAGAAAAAAATGTTTGGGGTGGACCACCCTTAACATTTAGGGGGATGAAAAATAAGATGTTGTCCGATACTCTACCCTGGCCGATATGCACACAAAATTTCACGACAATCGGTCGAGCTGTTTCGGAGGGGTTCAATTACAAACACCGTGACACGAGAATTTTATATATTAGATAAATTTAATTTTAATACGCTATTAAAACTATCTAGTTTTTGTTTTTACACACAAGAAACGACACTTAATAACATACAGCAGCTAGGACATTGTTGGAATTCAGTGCGTCACGTTCGAAAGTAAGTTTTAAAATGTAGCCGGAAAATGGGGACACAAGCATTGACTATGCGGCTTACTATCGCTCTTTAAGCCCGTTTATTTTGCGCTTATCGTGTTAGAATACCCTCTCTATAGAGGAGTCCTTTGCCCAGCAGTGGGACATGTATAGGCTGTTACTTTACTTTACTTCGTGTTAGAGTAAAAGGGATTGTGTATTTTAAAAATGATCCATACACTTATTTAAAAGGACGCATTATTGACCTCATCAATTAAGTTATCATCAGTTTGTCTGATTGACAAAATTAGTGTCTTGGCCACTTTACTATTGAAATAGTTTTTACATATCACGCTTAATACTAGAATTAAATCAACAAAGATTTAATTACTTCTTCACAATCACAATTTACTTCTTAACTCCTTCTTATTTATACTTTCCTTTAAATTCATCGTGCTGGACTGGATTGTGACACCGGATGGTTTAAATTAGGTCTCAAACTTACGCGAGCATAAAGTTTTATTCGATTGAGTAACAATTGGGTAAAAACTTTATATCGGTTCTGTGATTTGCTTCACGAACATGGAATATTCCACAGTCTAACTTTCAAGTTGTTGGTTTTATACAGCCTTGTGGAAAAATACGGTTTAATACTATATTATTAAACTCAGATTGGAATAATGGTTAACATTGTCGAGCTCTGGTTATTATTGAGTCATATGTGTAGAAGATTTTATGTTGATGACTATGTGATGGCTTTTACGGGTTTTACTCGAACGATAGTCAGAAAACAGCGTCATGGAAGAAGCAGAAATAAAAGGAAAAATATAACTCATCCATATAATTTACATGGTACTATTAAAAAGACTTAGGTACGTGAGGTACAAATAAGCTAGGTTGTTTATTTTACCGAAGTTATTTCGGCGTTGCGACCTCTTGCCGGCCTCCGTGTAACAAACAAAAAAGAGATTGTGCCGTTTGCACGTAAGATACGAAAAGAGAAGACGTAAATATGTTGGGTTAACGCTTTTATTTATTTATTTGTTATTCACATTTTTCACAACGTGTTTCACAGAATTTTTGCTCAAAGCCCGCGTTCGAGTGTTTGTTCTGTGTAATTTTTTGATATTTGCAGAAACCTCCGAATGTTACCGTATTTAAAACGAATAAGACAGGCGTATATTTATTTATTTATAGATAGAACCACCAACGGAATAACATGTTGTTTTGAAAAAATGTGACAATGGGCATAGGAACTAAGATTTACATGTTTCAATTTAAAGGTAGTTACAGCATGTTTAAAAAGACGATATGTGTACGATAACTTAATAATTGTTACAAGTACGAGTAAAATACTAATATGATACATACAAAAACAATAAGACAATAACAAAAATATGAGAATTAAATATTTATAAAAATAACAACATTTTATATTGAGTTTATATAAATTTATGTTAGAATTTTCACTTTCAGTTATGAAATAGATTGACAATTTTGGCTCTAAGAGTTTGATAGTTACTAGTATATAACATTTTCATTCTCGAAAAACCACTTGGTGGCGTGTGATCACTCTACACCGAGCTCGAGT